CGTAAAATAAATTCAATCCAACAATTGGAAATTGCCCAATTGATATGTAAATATAGTGGAATATAATTTCTTTGAAAAAATCTACCTTTGTCTAGCTGGAAATCAGGTTCAAGGGTTCATAGTTCAATTATTTTCCACAATGCTTTTTGATTGTTGAGATTATGAAAAATATTCATAAACTGGTAGGCCTATATAGCAGATATCAAACAAAATTACAATGTTGTTACAAACTTACAGTGCTAATAAAACCAAAACAGACTCATTAGACGTAATGAGACTTGATCAATAAATAAGACAAACAAGAGTAAGGTTGACAATGTTATGTATAGTAGTTCATTTGCTTGACTCTCAATCCTGAGAATTGAGGGTTCGAATCCCAGCACGACACTATAACGTCCATTGACAAACCATCAATCCACATGTATCACTCTTCACCTAGGTTTAAAGCCCGTCTGCACTAGTTTGGCCAGGGGGATTAGACCTCCCTGCAAGGTCACTGACAGGTGGTTATCTCATAAATCAGCTCTCATTTAACATAAGAAAAAGAGGATCATGGGGAACCAACAGGCACCGATTAGGCATTGTTTTCTATTTATTTTTATTTATTCAAGTTTATTTAAAATAGAGGGTAGGTACAGTCAGTTTAACAAAACTGCTTTCCAAGTACGCCCTCTAGAACGACATAACAAGTTTGTAATATACAAAAATACAAGGAATATATAAAAATATAACATTCATCAAAACTAAACATTGACATATTTGACATAATATAGAGTACAAACATTATATAACATAAGAAAAATAATTATAGCGGTAGAGGGAAATAAGAACGGAGATTCTACTACAATAAATGCTTTGCCAATTGGAATCCGCGCTTAAATATTTGAATTGATTTGGTTGATTGAATTATTAAGTAGTGAAGCTGATCAGGCTTCACTATAGGTAAACAAAATTATTATTATTATCATAATTAATAATCTGAATTCTTATCGTTTAATGAGCGCTTTATAGATATTATTACCCCGGCCATCGGATTCACTCCCTGGGGAGTATTCCTCCTACCATACGGTCACCGTGAGGGCATATGGCAATTACTAACACAAATGCTTTCATCATCCTACCTGCATGGGTATGGAGTGGCAAAGGTACATGTAGATTAATGCCTTGCAAAAATACATCGGTACCGTGTCGGGGATCGAACCCACGGCCTTTGCATTTCAAGTCAAGAGCTTAAGCCCCACTGTCCTACTTTTAACTAATTGCTCCCTCTATATAGAAAACTTCCCCAATCGGTGCCTGTTGGTCCCCCATGATCCTCTTTTGCTTATGTTACTTGAGAGAGCTGAGTTGATGAGATAGCCACCTGTCAATGAACTGGCTGAGTGGTCTAATCCCTTCTGGCCCAGTAGTATTGACGGTCTTTAAACCAGTCGACTTCGACACCTCTACTTTTTTGTTGGGGGGGGGGGGGGCTATTCATGATTCGTTATTGATCATAGTGTACAGATATCATGGTGTCAAGGCGGCAATGTGTTGAGAGACAAGATACTGATGGAGTAATTTATTCTTATGTCACTTATGTGAGGTGTAATATAAGTAGTCTAAACAAAGTGAACGAAACATAAGAGTTAATTAAGCGCTTTAGTTTCAGACCCCTGTCTGAAATATGATACCTGTTGAGTAGTGCATGTAATTAACAGCATCGCTTATGCTTTAGGAATCAATTCAAGGTCAACAATATACCCTATACATTGCACGTAAAAAATAGCTTCGGATTATGTCACGTTTGCACTTTCAAAATACTGCCCCACATGGAACCGTATACTTTGTTAGCGCAGACAATTACATTCTCAGTAGCTTTAAAATATTAAAGGTAAAGACCAGTTATGGTCATGCGATTGCATTGTGAAAGAAACGTTGTGGAATCGATCAGAAAAGGTTGATCATCTAGCATCTAGCATCTGCAAGGTTCTGGAATCATCAAAATGATAAGAAATTCGGCCCATTCTTCGTAAAGTTACAAGCACTATACACAGAAAGATGTATATGGGACTACCCTATATCTCTCACAGACCACGAGAGAAACAAATTTACCAAATATATGAATTAGTAGGCGGTTTCCCGGCAAATTTGTTATCATCATGTATTAGTCAAAACATATTCTTTCACATGATTGGTAATGAGAGCTTCCATTTCATTTTTTGAAATTGGGGCGTTTCCAATACTGGTCATTACCTTTAAGACAAGAAAAATGATTATTTTTATACTTTATAATCGTGATCTAGAAGGCATATAGTAACAGTGCTCGTTCTGGTTCGTTTATGAATCAATACGATGATGGAAAATGCGTTGGCTTAGACATTATGAATTATGTTCGTTTCGTTTCATTTCATTTCATTTCATTTCCTTTAATATCATATTTTACCACATTCGAGTAAAAAAAAAAAACATGCAAAATCCGAAACAATGTACATTTTATAAAATACAAAGGAAATACACAAAGAAACTAACGTACAAACAAACAAGTAAATAACAAAAGGGTGAAATAATGAGTAAACTAGCATGTGGATGGGGAAAAACAAAAGCAAAAGTTGCTTGTCGGGGTGAAACCCAGAATAATTTTTATTTTTTTTAATTTTTTTTTTATTTATGCATTTTCACAATTTCACAATTCAATTGGAGTTAACATCACATTAAATAGAATATGATATAACAAATCATTTTCAATTTTAAAATCCATTTGAATTGACTTCACGTGAAAAAGAATATAACAATGTTTTATCAAAGACAAGTTGCAACTAATATACAGTTTGAAGAATGAACACACAAAGGTGATGAAACATAAGCAAATAGAGCTTGAATCGTTGGATTGTTTACACTATTTACCCCCCCCCCCCCCCCTCCCCCCCCCCCCCCACATAAAAAAAATTAAAAAAACAGAAGTATATTGTTAAGTCTAGTTCAAAATTATGTTCGATATAATGAGAACTGATATATAGATTATTTTGTAAGTAATATCTTACATCTGTGAAATGATAATACATTTGAGTGCTCTAAGGTACCACACTTGAAACTAAGGGGTTGGCGGTCATTCAGTGGAATAGTACAATTACTGGGCTAACATGAGAATTGCATGTTAAACACTAGGTGTTTTTTCCTATTTCTTAAAGCTTTTGAGTTATACAGAGTTAATGTCATGGCTTAATCCATTCCAGAGGACTTATCCTCGGTACCAGTAACATGCATGTTGTATTTTTCCACTAGCACTATTAAATGCTACGTGTTAATTTCATCACGTATCATACAACTGTCTAATGACTAATTGCGAGCATTCATCCAGGGTCGGTAAACCACATGTTCAATGTCTGTGCCAGAAATGTCTCACTTCACACGTGACATTATAACTCACGTCCCTTATCCCCCTCCCTCTTAGTTGAGGGTATTCATATAGTCACAAAACCTATTCCCCTTCCCTTTCTATTGAATGAGGGGGTAGGTGTCCGGATACGGAATAATTTAATTGAATTGAATTTATTTTCTTCTGCAACATTCAAATCAAACTACATTTCAGCAACATAATTATACAAATATAACAAGTTTTTTGTAATGTGTATATACAATACAATAATAATAAATGATGAAATATGCTGATGTAAATATGTCTGACACAGAAAACTAATATAAGTATACGGGAGTTATAAAATATAGTGATGGATGTTTTAAAGGAATCTGAAAGTAATATTGAATATTAATTCAGCACTGGGAAAAGATTAAACAATGTACACTGAAAAATGCTTTCTTCGTATTGAATGTGAATGAATTGAGGGTTTTACATGGTTTTAGTGAATCTGGGAGTGCATTCCATAAATCTGGACCATGATGTCTTATTGATTTATGCAGGATCAATAATTTAGGATCCATCAAATGACCGGGTAGGATAGTAAGGATGGATAGTGTTATCTTATACCAACAACATTCTTAAAAGTATCAGGAAGCAGGTTATTCATGTATTCAAACATGAAGATCAAATTCGTTATACGTTTATATAAAAACATGTTTTACTCGAGAAAAATACATGTATTTTATTTTGTATTTATTATTATTAAACTTCATTGATGTACATCAATATTCTGTTTATAAATATATAAATCAATATTCTGTTTAGAAACATAATATCATATATCAATTTACAATGTAATGTAACAAATCAACATTCTGTTTGTAAACGTATATATTATATAAATCAATTTACAATGCAGTGTATATAGCAAAACAGAAGGAAAATTATGTCCAGCAGAAACACTTTCTTTTCTTTTTGTAATAAATGCTTTAAATTCATTAAAAAATGGGTTGGTATAAGCTAAATAATGGGAGCCAGCGCATACGCGAACCGCTTTCTTTTGCGTTAAATAAATATAGGTTAAATTTGTGTCTTTGCAATTGGAGCCCATACCAAGTTACAATATGAAATGTATGGCAAGATGAGCGAGTTGTAAAGCATTTGAAGAGTCTTTGTAGGACAATAACTTTTTGTCTTTTTTTTGTAAAGTATTCTAACATTCTTAGAAATGCATGTAGTTATAAATAGAATCGACATAGAATGAGAAAAAGTATCGAAAATAAAATTATAAATAAAGAAATAAAAATGCAGGACAAACATGAATTTTTAATTTTGTTTTAATAAAGCAGTTTGAAATATGTGATAATTAAGAGGTAAAACGATGAAGGTGAAGCGAAGACTACAGATATGCCATCTAAAAACACTATGGCCCGAATTCACAAAGGAGGTTTGTCGACAAACCGAGGTTTATGTGCGTCATACGACGCGTTTCGACGCGTTTTTACAAACCTTGGTTTGTAAAAGACAAAAGGACGTTTGTCGAAACAAAAGGAGGTTTGTCGACAAACCTCCTTTGTGAATTCGGGCCTATTGGTTCCATTTAAGAGCGTCAACAAATCCTCGAACATGAGGGGGGCACTTTGCGAGGGAGTGGGTGAGGATGTGGGAAGGGGCTAGCCCCCACGTCCTACGGTAAGGACTACTTGACTTCGGCTGTTAAAACTAAGCATGTATAGGAAATGCATGATAGAGAAAAACAAAAACTCCCCGAAAATGTGAGAGGGTGGGGGTATGATGCCCCCCGGTACCCCCTCCTGGCGATGCCCTTGTTTCCAGGGCCAGGCTTCGTAGACATGAATCCATCTTGATATATGAAGAGCTTGATTCCAAAAGGAGCTAAATCCATATTTCATCAAAATTGAGTTTTTTTTGTCTTAAAATAATGATTTCCTACATGGGGACAAAATGCACGATATCAAATTTAAAAATTTCACCAGGAAGTATGAATTTTTTTAGTTGCAATATCATGTTTTATTCCAAAAGGAGCTAAATCCACTTTGGGTACTTGTGAGTAAATCACCTTTTTTGTTTCTCCACTTTCCCTTTAGCCATGTACCTTCATGTTGTTATTTATGTTAAAGGTGTCGCCCTGGACCAATAATATATCATAAGAAAAAAAATCTACCAGTTATTCCTGATTTTTACTAAATTATTAAAATTTGTGGATTTAGCTCCTTTTGGAATGAAACTGTAATATGTTGTTTACTTTCTTTTCAAAAGGTATTTTTAGATGTGATTTCACTGTTATTATTTAAAAGGAAAGGTTTGCTACTAAATTAAAATAAATTACAGGGACTTTATTGAGAAAATATTCTAAAATTTCACAAATTTTAGGTACAATATCATGTTTCATTCCAAAAGGAGCTAAATCCACGAAAAATAAGAATCTAAAAATTAATAAAAAATCAGAAATAACTTCTAGATTTTTATTAAATCATACATTATTGGTCCATGTTCACACCTTTAACATAATATAACAACATGAAGGTACATGGCTGAAGGGAAAGGGGAGAAATAAAAAAAGGCGATTTACTCAGAAGTACCCAAAGTGGATTTAGCTCCTTTTGGAATGAAACTCTTCATATACAGACATGAAGTGAAGAAGAAAACGGAAGAGGGGAACAGCAGCCATGCACGCCCCCTTCCCAACGCTCAAGTTCAAATCGACACCTGTTCGTCTATGCGCATAACCTTGACACTGCGAGGAAACTTAGGCTTTTCACTTGGTGCGGAAGACCTTCCCAGCTCACTTCAAGCTAGACATCACAACCCGGTAACAGCTTTCAACAAACGCGCTGAAAAGGTGAGGAAAACCGGCAACTTCTCAAGGTATGTTCTGAACTTATTTCATCCGATTTTATTCATTCTTTCCTGTTTTTGTTCGATTTGTTTATATGGATTTTTTATTATTCCAATTGATTTCTCGCAACATAAATATAATTCATTTTGTTGCTCTTTTTTAAATATTCTTCATGTTGTTGTCCTTCCTTTTTTATTCATTAAAAAAAAATTGATATGAAACTATACAAAAGAGGGAAACTTTCATTTACAATATAGGACATAAGTATTGTAATCCTTTTTGAATAAACATAGCTCAATTTTTCGTTTTTTTGTTATTTCGAGGATTCATCGATCCCTCGTTATTTAAAAAACCCGAATTTTTCAAAAATTTCGTAATTACGCAAGTGAATTATTATTTGTGATTGAATAAATTAAACAATGCCGATTCATCATCCCTAAAATGAAAAAGAATTTGCAATTTTGGCAAATGAACTGAGAATTATATCTGATTTTCAGAATTGTTATCAATTTTATTTTGATTTTCTCTTTAATTTGAGTCCTTAAAAAAAAAAAGGCGAACACAAAAGTTATCAACATTTTTATATGAGAACCTTCGGGACAACCATGTCAACAATATAATATATATAGGCCCTTTATTGCAAAATATGTGGATTTTAAATTTCCGGAATTTGAATTCCGGAGTTATTAACCCCTTAATTGTAAATTTGCGAGTTCGACGTGTGAATAACCTTCAGAACAAATAACGTATATTCGAAAGTGTAACATAAAACTGCGAATTTGTTTATCAATGGAAGGATTATATCTATTGCAATTTCATAAAATGTCTTATTTGTTTTGATTCTTGTATAAATGTCTTTGAATTCGTGTCGATTACAATGATTTGGGAGAGTGTGACACTTCCTTGATGTGCAACAGTTCAGCCAAATTTTCAAGTTGTTCGTATTTTCAACGGGTAGTAATGTATTCGATCCTTTAACCTCGGGGCATAATGCTCTTGCTCGATACCTCAGTCACACTGCCAAGACTCTACTAAAAAATGCCGACCGACCGTCCGACTCTCGGCCAATCGTTGTCATAATTAAAACAATAATAATAACGATGATAAAAAATGACTATAATGATAATACTAGTAACGATAAGGATAATAATATGCTAAATATATATTGCGCATGTTACCTTACCAAGGGATGCTCCAGGCGATTTGAAAGTTTACCCCGGCTTCAGCCCAGCTCAGTGCCCTAAAGCGCGCAGGGCATTCAAGGAAGACATTCATTCCTACCAGATACGCAATTACTTCACCCGGGTGGAGAGTGGCAATTGAAGATTAATGTCTTGTCAAATGACATTATTACCGCTGCGGGACTCGAACCGCATGTCTATAGTCTGTGGGCTGTCTAGCAAAGGTCTCGTTGCCAGTGTGACGGGGGTTTCAATATTGATGTATACTTTTAATGTCTGTATTCGCCGGTGAGTTCCCGCTTTGTTTACCTTGAAGGGGTGGGAAGGTGACTGAAAAGGACTAGGTATAATAGAGAAACACTTAAATGACATAGTCATCCACATAGGTATACAATTTATTAGACTGAGCGTGTCACAAGGGTGAGAGCAGTGTGGTTTTAGGAGTATAATGTTTCGCGTGGGAAAGAGAATTTCTCGCTTTTATCCGCTGGCCTGGTGAGGCAGCCCTGCAAATTTATGTTGATTGATTGAGAAAAAAAGGGGGTGCATTTACGTGACCAGACAGAAATTAGTACATGACTGTGATGACTCATAACCTCCCCCCCCCCCCCCCCTCCCCCCCCCCCCCCATTCAATATCTGAGTCCCTGCACAGACTGCACTATGTTGAATCCATGATCTGTGCCAAAGTTCAGGCTGATTTATTTATCTATGCACCTCGATTTTTTTTTTACCAACTGGAAGGGTATCATTATTATAAAAAGTAAATGTGAAGAAAGTACTCGCTGCCCTATGAAATAATAAGGGAAATAAACGACGTAATGAATCGTTATTTGTGTCATTAATTGTCACAATCTCACCCATTTTTTTTTAAGTAAACGAGAAGTTAAAATGATTCTAGAGTTGATTACTTGATTTTATTGCAAATTAATGTATATATATAGTGAAAGGGATTTTTTGGGGCAAACATTTAATGAAAATGCTCAATACAATACAAATTCATTTCTTTAATGAAAAATAAAATAAAAATAAACAGGTGTCGTGGTATAGTAGTTCATTCACTTGACTCTTGATCCAAGAGTTGAGGGTTCGAATCCCAGCCCGGCACTAGCGCCCTTTGGCAAGCCATTAATCCCCATTTGCCATTCTCCCTCCAGGTGTAAATGGCTACTTGACAATAGATAGGGTAATTGTAGGGCCTTCGGAAAGAACATTGTTGAAGCTGACTCGTGAGACTTCCCTGAGTAAGCAAAATTAGTTTCATCAATAAGCGGTTCAAAGCACCGTCTTATCAGTGCGTGGATGCATCGATACAAGATAAAAGTGAGCAAAGCTTATACAGCCAAACATGAAACATTTCGTACTATCCAAACATGGAATATCACCCTAAAATTCTCCCTCTACATATTTATGAATCTCAAAACCTATATACAGTCCTCAATGTGTATTTTGAATCAATGCTTCCACTCGGGTTTGTAAATAAAAATGTTCGTATCAATATTGAATTGCAATTACAATTTCAATAACCATGGTATATAGATGCAGCCATGCCTTCCTGTCACTGAACGACAACACTGTCTTACCGCTGGTGTAGGCAATTGGGGTAAAACGAAATATTATTGACCAATAGTGTGATTGACCATTAATATCATTGATATTACTATCATCTTGTTATGTAGACTATATTAATAACTATGAGTTACTGTAGTTGCATTGCATGAACTTGACTTCTGTCTGTGATTTAGGGTGGATGCCCCCCCCCCCCTCCCCTCCCATACTAAACAACTGGTCATGCTTCTATCTATGGCTCACTCATCAATGTTTCCAAGCTGTTAGGTATCAAGTCGAAGATGAAATAATTTACGAGACGTGTCATCAGGTGATGAACGATATTATATCGTCTGCTAAGAGACAGAAGGTCATTATTTCATATCATTTTGCGTTCAGTTAATGCCCTTCTCGCTCTTGATCACCAGATGATATGAGCTCATGTCAGACCGCTTTTTCTCGACAGTGTATTTTGTAATGAAACAAAGGCATGTTGTCAAATAATTACTTTGTCATCAATCTCACATCAGTGCGAGGCAAAATGAAAGTCGTTAAACCTATGGTTAAACGTTCTTCATCACCATTTGTAAACTTAAAATTAATCACTGTCATTATTGCGGCTTCGATTGCATTATTATCCCAGACACTTCTAATCTGCAGACGAGCACGGTGGAATTTACGAGCTCAGCTGCAATGAAGGGAAGGGTGACATGCAATATTCCCGCCTTTATTTAGGAGCTATCAAAACCCCTACCATATATTGAGTTAGCATAATGCACTAACACTACAAGACAATATCCTCCAGAATAAGCGGTACAGAGAAAAAGATTTAGCGGCATTACACTATAATAATTCAAATTACACAAAGTTCACAATAAAATAAGGGAAACTAAATATATATTCAATTCAATTCAATTCAATTTCTGTTTCCAAAAATAAATAAATTACAAATCAATTATAATCATTTATAACAATATTGAAAACAGAGGGGTCCATATAGCGTGTGATCATTAATTATTTTAAGGGCGAGAAAACTACACTCAGCAAATAAAAGAAAACTTTCATAAACTATCCGTCAATGAAATATTTATCAAATGAAAGAAAAATGTAAATTCTACCAACGCCAATTAAGACCATGTTCTTAACTTTCACGCTTAGATGATAACATTTATTTAACCGTTAGAAGGTCTAATTAACAAATTGCAAAAATATAGCAAGTAGCCATTTAAATGTGCATCCGTTAAAACATTCCTTTCAACAATGAAAACAAAGAGTGAAAAACATTGAGGAGGATTGAACTCTGGATGTCACGTTGAGTCTCAGGACTGCATAGTTTGACTAGTATTGTCAAGATGCCTCTTCGCTCGTGTTTCTTGTAATAACATATTTTTCATTGTTTATATTTTACTCTATAAGATAGTAATGCTGATCTATATTTGAATGGTCAGATGCCCCATTTTTGCAATTTTCTTTCACTCATTTATTGTTAAATTACCTTACATTTACGCAGCAAACGGAATCAATGATATCAATTATACCAAGGGCGTCAATCCGAGCTTGAGCATGGGAGGGACACAGCTTTTTTTTTCTTCCCCCAATTCGTTAGGAAATATATTCAGCGGCGAATCAGCCAACCAGTGATTAAGAGGGGGTAGGGGGTAAGAGGCACTAATGTATATATATATATATATATTTTTTTTTTTTTTTGCCAATTCGTGAGATTTTGTATACAAATCGTTGCTCTCTGCATGGTGATTCCTCTTCTTTTCTGACAAAACATGGGAGGACATTTGATATGATGTCCCCCCCCCCCTATAGGAAAAGCTTGGGGGACGTGTTCCCCCCCCCCCCCCCGTGGTTGACGCCCTTACAATTTACATTATACATACGCAGAGAACGTTGCACAGGTTGGTTTTGTTTTGGTGTGTTCTGACTACTCATAACACTGTTTATCTATTGTTTGGAGAAATAGGATGCTGTGTTATGGCAATGTTTTGACTCGACGGGTATCGCTTTCTAGAACTTAACTTTATTGCCCCTATATCATCATCGAAGAAAGCTGTGTTGAGAGTTGATATACAGTGTACTAGTATTCATTTCGATTAAAGTGGTGCAATAATTTTTAGGAGTATTAAAGCCCCATCTGCAATATAGTTTGGCCAGGAGGGATTAGACCTCACTGCATGGTCACTGACAAGTGGTTATCTCATCAAATCAGCTCTCAATTAGCATAAGAAAAAAGGGGACCATGGGTTAGGGTTAGGGTTAGGGTTAGACCAATGGTCACTGATTAGGCATTGTTTGCTATATACATGTAGATGGCGCAAGTAGCTACAAGTAGTGCAGTGGGGCTTGAAGGTTACCCATTTCCTCATTTCCTCTGTAGATATAATTATATTACATTCCTTTGCTCTTATAGACAGAAACCGAACCAACTTACTTTCAACATGCCTACGGACTTCAGTGGTGAATGGTCGATGGTCAGTCATGGTGAGCTGAGTAATGATCTGATGGATACGATGTGCATCCCAGCAGATCGTCGTCCAAATCTTCCCATCGACAAACTCACTGTCAAGGTCACGCAGAAAGATGACCACTTCGACATCACGAGCGAAACTCCCGAACGCAGTAACACGTACAGCTTCGATGTCGGGCCGAGCTTTGAGACCAGCCTGGTCGGTTTTCTACCAAAGATGTCGGTGAGTGCTTTATGATTATACGAATACAAATTAAAATTCCTCTTTGTAATATAGAAGACATGATTATAAGTCCGGTATGGTTATTATCCCTTCTTCATATCTCAGTTTTTTTTCCCAGACCCTTTAAATTTTGGAGGTCAATGAACCACTTTAATAGTGGTTCATTCACTTGACTCTCAATTCAAGGGTTGAGGGTTCGAATCCAAGTCCGACACTCACGTCCTTAAATCCACATTACCCTCTTCACCCAGGTGTAAATGGGGACCTGGTAATTTCTGGGGTCATAATAATTAATGGGCCCTCAGGCATGTCAGGAAGAACAGCATTGTTGCTGATGGCGATTCCCTGGCTAAAGAAAAGAATTATTACTAATGTCATTATAATTATCATTATCATTATCATTGATTAGTAGTATTGTTTTTACCATTGTTATTATTATGATTATTGTTATCATAAGAAGTATTATTACTATTAGTATTATCATTATTATTATTATTATTGATATTAGTATTATCAATATTGTCATTATTATCATCATTATTAGTAGTGGTATTATTACTATTATTATTATCATTATTCTTATCAGTATTATTATTACTATTGTTATTATCATTATTATTAGGTAACTGCGTCATGGGAGGGTGATAACCTCTTGTTCACCGCTGAGAATGGTTTCAAGATGCTTCGAGAGATTGTCGAAGGCCAAATGGTGACCACTGTATCCAAAGGGGATGTTTCATTCAAAGTCGTCTTCGACAAAGTCTAAGACACGCCCTCATCGTTCACAGGGATGACAGGATGGAGAAAGTTATCTTAGGCCAAATTATATTAATTCCTGGCTTCTAGTCCCCTCCTCCGTTTTTTCTATTCCCTGCTGCCATTTCTTTTTAATTTATGTTTCCATTTTGTTTGTTCTGAAATGAAAATAAGTATGAATTTGAGGACATCTTGGCAATTCGATGTCAAGAAAAATCATCAATAAAAATTGTAATTGCATTTTCTTTATTCGCTTAAAATTCAAAAGCATATTTAAAAAATAATCAAGGTTACAAAATTGAGGTTACCATAATATAAACAAAGTTCAAAACGTTCATACAAACAAACAAAGAAACGGAATTTCAACTTGTTTGGAGCCCCTGCAGATTTTGTACAAATTAAATACAATTTATTACCTTATTTGTTAAAAATTGACCCCAAATCATTTGTATGTACCCAAAATTATGTAATTATCTAAAATGGAACGCCCTCCTCCTCATTTTCGAAAATATTCGTAGAAGAAACTAGGAATTAATTGTACATGTCGTTTAATTTTACAATAGGAAATTAGATAGCAAACTTTGAATTCACTATTTCTGATTTTGCCTGGCTGTTTCTGTATTTTAGGAATTTAGCTGTATGTAGGCTTTTAGATTTATTTGAAAAGCTATTGTTTCGATTATACTTGACTTTTCTCATCCCTTTTTTCTCAATTTATGAAGGGTAAACTCGAGGTTTGTTTTGACAGATTTGTACAAACGTTTGTTTGATTCATTCTGATGGTAGAGTAGGTAAAAAACGTGAAGGTTGATATACTTTGAATTCATGTTATATTTGTTAGTCTGCATGTTGGTATGTAGGACAACGTCGACTAATGCATAGCCTCCCACATGTGCGATAACGATAACAATTCCTAATGATGAAAATCTCTTAAATGTATGTAAGATATATGAAAAATCGATTAAAAAAACAACCACCTGTGAAAAATGAAAAAGAAAAAAGTTTTTCTGCTAACACAGTATTAGCGCTTATCCTTTTTGTTATCTATCTATCTTGGGTTTTCTTTTATAGAGATATTAATGAGCACAGTTCAACTACTTTCATGACTTAACAGGGAAAATATATGAGCCTATCTCTCTTTAAAGTGTCACTGGTTATCGTTTTCGATTGAGACGAGGTTTTAAGAAGTGAAAGGTAAATAAATATCGCTCATTATTGATGTTATTCCTTTTTAACGGTCTCCTATACAACGATATTAATATCATTCTTTTATTGTTAATAAACCAGCTCAAATTTCAATGTAATATGTTTTCAGTCACATCCAGAATTCATCAGATCAATAAAGAAGTCTTTAATAAATAATGGAATATCTGTCGTATTTGGCAAACTTTACTGTATAATACACAGGCTTGATGGTCAAAGAGATGGAAAGTAAAACAAAATTATATAATTCTTTATATGAAATAGGGGAAAGTGTAAAAAAATCCTCAGGAAATAATTGTAAACAAAATTTGTTTGGAGGGTAGGCCTATTCAATAAGAAATATGCACAAAATACTGCAAATTTTAGACAATAATTTTAATCCACACATTAGATCTTCATGTCAAAATGACCGACCGACGCCCCCTTTCCCCTTTCCATAATTTATCAGTTTTAGATGATTTTTTTTTATCTTATAACAATTGCGGTGTGATGATGAAGATAATGATGATGAGGAAGATGATGATGACGATAATGATGATCGTGCTGCTGGTGGTGGTGTTGTTGATGATAACGATAGTGACGATGACGGTGATGTTGATATTGATTGTGATGATGATGAAGATGATATTGATGATGAATTTGATGATAGCAGTGGCGGATCCAGGGGGGAGGGGGCCCGGCGCGATTTTCAAATTTTGGGGAGCAAAAAAAACAAAATAATAATAATAATAAAATTGCTCACTACCCCCCCCCCCACTGAGCAAAATATTGGACGGCACGATTTTCATATTTCAGCACACTAAATTTCAAATTGATTTCAAATTTGGGCCCCCACCCCTAAGAAATCCTGGATCCGCGCCTGGATGATAGTGATGATGACGATGAAGCTCATAATGATAACGGATGACGGATGACGGATGATGTTGATTAAGATGATGATGATGATAATAAAGCATAACATTTAGTTTTATCATAATATTCTAATGCAGAAAATATTTATCATGATGGCGTTCGAATCGAACCTTTATGACTATGATTCGATTTCTAGGTCGGTCTGTTGTATGTTGGTCTTTAGTACCCCCCCCCCCCCTCTCTCTCTCTCTCTCTCTCTCTCTCTCTCTCTCTTCCCCCTCTTTTCGACATTCGAATTGGGAGACACATACCCACGTGTAGCTTCTACGCCCATTTAAACTAAGATTTTAAAAAATCGTTCTCCAAATGCCTCGCCGGGATGCGTTATTTTTTTATGCGGCACAGATTGGGGCATGGCGCGTGTTAAACCTATGGGAAGTACGTTCTTTCCCTTCTGAATAGTGTCTGCACGTACGTGAGACTAGTCATGTTCGCTAGCGCATTAGCGCTGCGAAGAAGTTTGTATATCCATCGCGAACTATGTGTTTAGATAACATTCCTCTTTGTTTAAGTTTTATTGACTAATTATTGTGATGTTCTCCTTATTGACGTGCTGCCTCCTCTTCAGATTTCCAATTTGATTTTAATTGTTGATGTAATGATTTTCCATGCGGTAGTGGATTACATGTAACACTATTAAAAACAGACCTCTACTACTTATGACTTCGCTTGAGTGGGAAATAATGCCAACACTTGGGATTAAACAAAATTATTTTAATGGCTCTGAAATGCACGTAATTTCTGAAGTAAAGAAAAAAAAAAATCGTCGATTATTTTATGAACCAAAAGGTAAGAAGGTAAGCCTATAATCAAATATTAAAATCATTACATTTTATAGACAACTGGCCTTTGAAGAAAGAGATTTTTCTCTGGGCCAAATAAACATTTATGAACAGGCAATACAAATGTACACACTGCAAAAACGTGTTTTAGTGTATGCAATTAGTTAAATTTGATTTTCAGAATTCCAAGCCCGAAAAGGAACTCTCCTGCATGAAGACAACGGGGGAGGGGCAATGTTGAAACTATATGAGCACATAATATTTACAACGACTTGTATTGCCCATATTTTCCTTTTTTATTTGTCTACTTATTCTATCATCCACCGTAATTTTATTTATTATTCACATGCTGCTCTACAGAAAGCTAGCCACAATAATACGAAACGTTTAAGCCTGACCATTCTGCATTCAGAGTTTCAGACAGCAACCAAATGGAAGGAAAACAGAAGCGAAAACGTACAAAAAAGAAAGAGAAAAAGAAAGAAATGTAAGTTGAAATACAAGCTCTACACATTTAGAGATCTGAGCTGAGCGAGTCCCACATACTGAAAATAATGTCATGGTTTGACTGCAGCTCCGCAGCTGTCTTCAGTCTTGGCTCAGTGGCAAATCCAATGAATCTCGCATCACTCATAGATCTATATTGATTTTAAGTTTTTTTATTAGACTTCTTTTTCTATTATTTATTATTATTAATAAAACTATTATTAGTAGTATTAATGTTATCATTGACATTGATTTATTGTTATTTAATTATCATTTTATTGTTAGTCTTACTGTTGTTATGATGATGATGATGATGAGCGGAAGATTAATAATTCAGCCTCCCCTTGCAGTGCCTCCAAAAAGTAGCCTGGAAGAAAAAGAATGCCTTTCCCACTGGCTCCAGAGCCGCACTTTTGGCACATGATTTTAAAACTTAAAATATTAAGAATGGAAAGAAATTTTGTAAACTTACTTTTAATGCCCTTTTTAAAAGTTTTTTCCCCTCCTTTTCGAGACACGACTGCTTAGTTCCCTCCTGATATTGATAAAATCATAAAGCGTGCTTGCGTACACTATACCAGTGACATCATTTAAAGCATTTGCGCAATATCTGACATGCGCAGATAGCCTGCGGCTTACCTTACAACAACTGATCGCATTTGATAGCAACGATAAACAACAAGCAGGGAAATGACATATAAATCAGGCATTCAGGTCTCCCTTCATTTAAAAAAACATCATAAAATTAGAAAATGGCAGAACAGAGCTGATTTGGTTGGCCTAATCGGTAAAAGTAGGCTCAAATATCTGAAAAACGAAGGAAATTTTCATCAACGAAACATGTAAATTCCATTGGTTACTTATTTGTTTATCAGACCATTTGAAAGTATACACTATACAGCAGGTTTTACAAAATGTTGCGTGAATGTACTACACTGGGACAGTGTTGCCCATCTTTATACAGTACACAGCCAGGATAGTAATGCTGCTATGTGTGCCAGAATCCAAGCAATGCATCAAACAATGCCTGAAAAATTGTCAATGTCCAAGAGAGACACAATTATGTTTCTCTTCTAGATATAAAAGGGCAGTCTTTCTGTTTCGGTTGCGTCGGTAGATTCAGGTTTAACTGTACTTCAACGTTGTTTACAGATGGTTGTGCATGCACCTACTATATAGTACTCACTATCATAAACAACAGGTTTACAACTAGTACTATTTACAATCAAGTTGAAGCACCAGTGGCGATGTCTGAAAACATTAGGTAGAATTAGATAATAGTTAAAAATAAGGTGATCTGGACAAAAACATAGCAAAAGTGAGTATTTATGTGAATGAGGAGGCAGCTAGAAAGGTAATACCTTATTGGTGCTGCCATCTATAAAAAAATGAAAAATTTGAAATCAGGATAAGAAGAGAGTATGTGTACAAGACCAGATTGAAGATTTACAGAATAACTACATTGTACAAGCATAATATACCCAAAAGAATAACAGAAAACAAAAACTAACAACAAAAGAGATTTGTTATTGTTTCTTACATTGACAGCAAACAAAACAACCAAACTAAAACACTAAAAAACAAAAAACAAAACTGACAAACGATCAAACAACTAAAAAAAAATTAAAAAACCTTATCAAACATTTCTTATATATCTACTGAGTAATGAGGTTTTATATCTCTTTTTAAAGACATTTAGTGATTGCTAAAATAAGATTGACAAATAAAGAAAAGTGCACTTTTTAGGGGGGATAAAATAATGGGTTATTTAAGGACATTTTCCTCTAAATCTCTAATATAGAGTTGACTTGATTTGCTTCCTCTTCTGGCTTGTGTCCAGCACAGTTCAAAACATGATTTAATATGACAAGATTTAGACTCATATGACATAATGATGCTACCATGTTTATTGTTTCTACAGCAACCAATCTGGAAATGAATATGTACCAGGCAGCATTGCTAACTTTCTAGGTTCAAATCCTGAGGAGACGAGCACTCCATCAGGATCCCAAAAAAGGGTTCTAGCTTCATTCTTCCAGCCATCTGCGACCACCAAGCAGAATGTTACTCTTGACAAGGTAAGCTCCACAAGGCAACAGTTTTTTATCATTTGTTTTCTTCTCCAGCTTTATAGAAAGAAAATGTTTCAATTATTCATTATCTGTAGGCTAGCTAGCCTTGTTGTTTTGGTTTCCTGAACTTGCCCTCCAAGACTATGTAGAGAAACATTGCGTTAGAGGGAAATCCCACCCTAATAGCAAATTGCTCTGAAAAAAGGAGAAACGGTATATTGAAATGAAAATTTAGACATAGTTACATTATTTATTTATTTTTTTATTTTATTTATTAGTCTTTTTTTAGTAGGGTGGCTCCATCAGTAGTTCAATACTGTTTTCCGTGGAGGCCCTACAACATAAATACAAAATTAACAAACATATTGAAAATAAACAATCCAAATCGAAACAAAGTGAATTAAGTTACAACATTTTCGAATAAAAGAAAAGAAACAAACACAACACAATGGACCAGTTCAATGATTTAAATTATTATAGCGCCAAAACAAAAGAGTAAATGAAGAATTTGATGGTGCATTTTAAAAAAAAATTAGGTAAAGTATTCCAGAAAGCCGCACCATCAAATGAAAAACTTTGTTTCCCCATCTGGGTTTTTATTTTGGGTAAAATTAATCCTGCGTTTTGTGCACTGCGTGTTCTAATGTTATGTAAAGATTGTTTTTTTTTAAACATTTGTAAAATATAGACGGGAGTTTGACTTTGAAAAACAGAATAAATCATTTTACATTTGAAATAATTCCACCTACTTTGAATGCTTACCCACTTGAGTTTATTTAAATTTTCTTGAGTTGGGGTTCTTACATTGGCCCCCAAGATTACTCTGGCCATTTTCTTGTGTTGTTTAATGATTACATCTCGGACATTTTGTGAACAATTAGACCATGTATTACAACAATATTCAAATAAAGGCAAAATTAATGCATTGGCAAGAAGCTTCAGTCCCTCCAAAGGTAGGTATCTTTTTGAACGACCAAGTAATGCTATCCTTGACCCTATCTTTTTACTTGTTTTTGTCACATGTTCTTTCCAGCTCAATGTTGGATCTAGCCAGACTCCTAAGTATTTATAGATATAAACCTGAGAGATTTGGTGTTGCTCGAGTTGAATGCATATAGATTTTTCAAGTTTAGCCAATTTCATTTGTGAACCAAATAACATAAATTCTGTTTTTTTGTGGTTTAATGCCAGATTGTTTTCTTTTACCCACTCATAAACTAGTTTCAAATCAAAGTTCAAGGCCGATTCAATGTCCTCACTTTTTTTACTACTAAAAAACAGTACAGCATCGTCTGCATATAACATTACTTGGCATTTTGATACCACCTTAGGAAGATCATTCACCATGACAGTAAACAACAACGGGCCTAAATTGGCGCCTTGTGGTACGCCTGACAAAGTCGTACCCCAATCTGATTCAAATTTTCCGAGTACAACTTTTTGTTTCCGATCACTCAAGTATTCCATGAACCAATTAATTTCTTGACCCAGTATACCGTACTTACAAAGCTTTTCTAACATTATTTTACGCGCCTGTCATGTGACCCTTATCCATTTGTCTATAAATAAAATCAGAAAAATAGGTTAAAACAGTATGGGTACTATGATCTTTACGAAAACCTGATTGATTCGGAGAGAGAACATTATTTTCTGTTAGATATTCTTGCAATTGATTATGTACTGCCCGTTCCATGATCTTCATAACGACAGGTATTATCAAAATGGGCCTATAATTATTCAAGTCTGATCTCTCCCCTTAAACTATGATAATATACACCATTTGCTGCGACCTTACTTAAATTGCCAATTTAATATTTGTAGAGATGTCACACGTTTGTAACCTTCTTATAATTGATCTGAATTACTTCAAACTTTTGCCATTCTGTTGCTCTTATTTCTCTGTTTTCATACAGATATCATTGTAAATGCTGCATTGCCCTTTAAATCCTGTATAATTGTAGTTTTTTTATTTGATGATAATGATGTTGTTCATATCATAACATGGATGCACTCATACAGCCTCACTTTCTCCTATTTCCCGTAATTTATTCTGACCTAAGTTGTTAAACACATTTTCATTAAGAGCGGGGGTTCTGCCATCTGAAAGCCCTTTTGTATCTCTGTAGAGAATAGGAGACAGTACTTTAAACTAGTTTTGTTTTAAATGTGTCATTTATTTACTCAATGTCATTTTGTTCTCACCAGGCAGGCAAAGATACACCCGGAGGAAGAGTGTCCAAGAACAAAAACAATAAGACCCAATCAGAAGAAAAGGCTTCCAATGATGGACAAACAAGTATTCAGTCAGAGGATAGCAGTCCTGATAAGAAACTTCCCCAGAAGGGTTCCAAACGAAGAGCGCAAGATGATGACGATGAGCCTAAATCCAAGAGGAAGAAAAGCAAAAAAGAGCCAATGGAGCCAATGGATCCTATTGTTCTTGCTAGGACGGTTTTCGTTGGCAACCTGCCAGTCAACATAACAAAGAAAGTAAGTCATTTCTTAGTTTTATCTCTACCATACTATCTAGTTGCTGTTACTCTTCTGTACATCACCCCCTCTATTACTCACTCCCCCCCCCACCCCCTCTCTGCCTCTGTCTATCTTTCTCTTTTTCTATCTATCTGTCGTGCTCTCTTTCCTTTTTCTGTTTCTTCTTCCTAGTTTGTTCACCTTTTAAAGAATGATCTTATTTGTGTGTCATATAGTAAAAGCATCCTAGAGAAGAATATGCTAACGGTAATCACTAGTCAAAACTACCTGCTAAGAACCTCTTTTGTTCTCCCCTATTCTTTCAGGTTAACAGAGAGGCTGCATGCTACGTACCTATCATGTAGCTCAAGAGAATGTGTATCTGATTGGAATCTTTAAAAACTAATCTTTGTTCCTGTTCTTTTTTTTAAATTCCAACTCGAACAGGAGCTGAAAGGACTCTTCAAAATCTATGGAGCAATAGAAAGCATGCGTTTCAGATCCATGGTAAGATAATGAAATATTATATATTGTATGTTATTTGAAGGACAATATGTAAATATTGTAGTTATTTGTAGGTAATTTACATGTGTGTTAATAATGGTATTTCATGCATTGTGCTTTTGCGAGATGATCTCACTGCAGGATGATATTCCAATTCCTTATGTGTTTACTATGGCAACCACCTCACATGATATGCATCATGAAGATCATAAAAGAACATTCAGTTAATACAAATTCTTCATCACTCTATGAACTTGTCACAATTACAGTATCTTTTGATGTCAGGCCTTGTTGTAAATCAGAAAATGATTCTTGAAAGTCAAGTCAAATGTAATGCCTGGTTATAGAGGTATGTGTAGTATCTTTAGTTATAATGTTCATGTTAGATGAGAGTATGAAATCTATTTCTGTGCTATGGTAATGTTATTATATATTTGAATGACTTTACAGGGTGCGGCTGATCCCAGTATGTCCAAGAAAGTTGCAGCAATAAAGTGAGTACATCATCCCTTCAGGGGCGAAGCCTTTATTTTAACTTTATGATGTTAAGATGTTATATCTTACTGAAAACTTTGTCTCACAAAGCCATCATAGGCTTTATTTAAAATTCTCCTTTTTTATTTTACATAAATTGTAAAGTGAAACATTTGTTATACATTGCCGATGGTATTGATTAGTCTGTATATTCAGTGTTTTGTTGTATGAATGTTTATTTGCTTTGATTGTATTTCTATGAAAATGTAATAAATAAATGATAAACAAAAAACCTTTGAAAACCTGCACAGAATCTTCTTATTTAATTTTTCTTTCTTCATATCTTGACTAATAGAGGTAAATCAAAATGGATTGTCTACCAGAATTCAGGAATTTACAATACTGAAATAGATAAGAAATTCTCTTGATTTCATCTAAATTAACCAAGAATACTAACATTTCAATTGTTTAATATTCTGTAGATTTGTATTTTTATGAAGAAGTATCAACAATTTGTTTTGTTTCATTATTGATATTTCAGACAGGAATTGAATCCCAAGAAGACCTCATTCAATGCTTACATTGTCTTTGAGGAAGAGCAGTGCGCCAGAGCAGCTTTAGCAAGGTATATCATTCAGTATATCTCTTGAAAAACAATCCCATCATTCAATATTTGTCTGTTTTTTAAATTAATTTTCTATCCTTTTTTTAAATGAATGAGGCGTTTATTTTGTTGCTAATAATGTCACAATGTCTACAGGTAAATTATTTCTTATGTTGCACATGTTGAGCAACTATTTGGGAGTGAAAACTAACAAAGAATGAGAAGGGTGTGATAAATATATAATACGTATATATATCCTTTTTGTAATGTCGTCTCAAAATAAGTATATTTTAAAGATTATTGCTGCGCATTCAATTTTCAGCAATCTCAATTCGATCGCTAGAAAATTATTTTTCTTCTTTTATTAACAGCAATGGCAAGATTGTGAACAAGCATCATATGAGAGTGGATATAGCTGGCAACAACAAGAAGGTATAATAAACAGAAAGAAATATCTTTTTGATTGATAAATGTTGTATAACTTGGATGACCTTTTAGTCTTCATTCTTGAAGGTACCAGTGACTAGTTTAATTGCTTTTGTTTCTTTAGCCAAATCCTCCATTACTTTTGGAATATATAATTCAAGAACACTCTGCTACTGTATTTCCCATCATAGTGTTTCCAATTCGTTTTTGATCAACTACAATTTCAAAATTCATAAGTTTAGTACACACATTCAGGTTTTCCTAAAACTATCCCAGATCTGTCTCTTTCTCTTTTCTGCTTTTATCACTTTGATCCCAGGGTAGACCTCACCGTTGTTCTATTTTGTTTGTTCATGTTTTATTTTCTTCTTTAAAAAAACAACAATTTGTTCACCCTTTTGGACTGTATATTTAAAGTAGAGCCTAATGTTATCCTCCCAACTTTCCATGCATCATTATCTTTCCTTGTAGCATGACATGAAACGCTCTCTGTTTGTGGGTAATCTTGCTTTCAACGTTGATGATGAAGCTGTGAGAAACCACTTTGAGGAGTTTGGAACCGTTGAAGGAGTGAGACTCATTCGAGACAAAGCCACTGGAGTAGGAAAGGGATTTGGATATGTGCTCTTTGAAGTAAGTCTATTAAGAAGAAAAACAATTCTCACTCTTGTATAATAGGGATTAAACTTTAATTCATGGTTACTTGATAACATGGCTGGTATTGGAAAATGAATTAAAATGAATCTCTGACAGGGTTATATTCAACAGTTTTAGGAAATAGGTATGATGAAGTGATCACACCAGCATTCCTTTAAGAAGAGTTCCGAATATGCCAATCACATTGGCTCTCTGCTGCTCAGATGATTTTAGAAATCACATTTTTGATTTGAAGAGAAGGTTCAGTTCTAGGAAGAGGTGAAAAATAGTTTGTGAACATTATCATTGCTATTATGCAAGTGTGGAAGAACATCAGATTAAAAATGTTCCCTGTAAAGCATTGCTCTTCAAATGACTTAATATTCTAAATAAGGCATGTTACAGCATAAAAATCGGGACAGATTTTTACGCCACATGTTGTTGTACTCTCATATACATATTCCGGTGTACAGTACTTGTAGCTTTACCAAGACTAGGCCAAATTTCTTAACATTTTGATGATTCCAGTACACACCAATACTTATATGCTAGATGATCAACCTTTTCTGATCGATTCCACACTGTGTTTTTTCTCAATGTACTGTAATCGCATAACCAAAAATCAACTTTATCTTTAAAGAGTATTATTTCCAAGTGTGAAGAAAATTTTAGACTGTGCAGAGGTATAATATAGACCTTTCATTTCCTTGCAGTGCCAACTGCCCTGGTGGCTTGTTTGCCACTTGCACAGATCAGGACAAAACTTTAGGCACCAATTGATGAAAAGATTGCTTTCTGCAACACAATGGCTTTCCAAAATTGCCCTTTTCCCATCCTGATAAACTCAATAACAACATATTTTGAACACCTGTAAAGATTAGTTTTGCAATGGAAACAGTTAAATAATCTTGAAGCCTTTTGTATATCTATCCATTGCTGTAAGCAGCTGTATACATGGTGGCATAGGGAGATCATTTGTATTGCATTAAAAGGGTCGAGTCCTATTTTCTGCAGGTTTTGTAAGTGCTGGAGTGTTAATCCAAGGCCTATTTTGTATTTCATTTGAAACAGGATTCGTCTTCAGTACAGTTTGCATTGAAGATGGATGGTACTAAGCTGAATGGAAGACCACTCAGAGTCAAAAGAGCAGTCAAGAAGGAGAAACAAAAACAACAAATATCCTTTACAATGTCTACTTTCTTGTTACGAGAGGGTTGAAGATGATGGTGAAGATGATGATGATGATGGTGATGGTGATGATGGTGATGATGACGACGATGATGATGATAGTGATGATGATGATGATGATGGGGATACTGGTGATGATAATGAGGTGATGGTGATGATGATGATGATGATGATGATGATGATGATGGTAAATAGAATGATGATGATGGTGATGATTATGCTTGTGAGGTGATGATGGTTATTAGAATGGTGGTGGTGGTGATGATGATGATGATGATGATGATGGTGATGATGATGATGATGATGATGATGAGGATGGTGGTGGTGGTGGTGATGATGATGATGATGGTGATGGTGATGGTGATGATGATGATGATGATGATGGTGATGGTGATGATGATGATGATGATGGTGATGATGATGATAATGATGATGGTGATGATGATGATGATGGTGATGATGATGATGATGATGATGGTGGTGGTGATGATGATGATGATGATGATGATGATGATGCTTGTGACATGATGGTTATTAGGAAAGTGGTGATGAGGATGAGGATGCTGGTGACGATGATGATAATGATGTTTATTATGATAATGATGATGGTTAGGATGCTGATGATGACGGTGATAATGAAGGTAGTTTATTATAACAGACTACCAAGAAACCAAGTGTGTGCTTGTTTTGATTTTGTTTGTATATAACATAGTTATAATATCAACAGCTAGCATGAGTACAAATGCATGGGACCGAGTCATTTCCTTAACCAATGTCTTTACAGAGATCATTCTAATACCAGGAGTAAGATTGCGCACAGAAGGAGCAATTCAAAGTCGAGACCCGGGTCAGGCGCTCAAGGACACGCAGGACCTCGGAAACCACCGTTCAAGGGTAAGGTGAAGAAGAGGCAGAAGCCTGGAGGAAACCACAAAGGCAAACAGAAGAGATGATGCATTGAAGGATGATGCCATGAAGTCAGACGATGCCATGGTCGGAGGATTCTATGTGAAACATGAAAGACAGTATGGGGAAAATCCACATCATCTGCTAATTTCCCTTAAAGCTGGACTGCACTACTTGTAGCTACTTGGGCCCTCTATGTAGCAAACAATGCCTAAGCAGTGCTCGTTGGTCCCCCATGATCCCCTTTTTCTTACCGTATGTTAATTGAGAGCTGATTCGATGAGATAACCACCTGTCAGTGACCTTGCAGGGAGATCTAATCCCTCCTGGCCAAACTAGTGCAGATGTAGGCTTTAATAAGAGTGGAGTACAGTAAATGAATTGGCTTGTGGTCTTGCCCGACAACTGACCAATCTTATGCGATGCGCATACCATCAATTAATTTCAAAGAAACCACCCCCAGCACGGATAATTCTCAAGCAAATTCTTCTTGTTACTCAACCTTAAGAAGGCTCTGCAATCTCTCATAGACCATGCTCAGAAACAGGCACTGAAAGTGTGTGCATTGTTATAGGACATCGTCTGCTTTAATATGCTTATTTGGTCCTTTGAGTGACGTCACAAATCTTGGCAGTGTTCAGAGAGTGTCAAAGTGGGGCTGTAGTTTATAATTCTAAAATTGAAAATAATCATTACGGTACTTTGAATGTTTCCAAGCTGGAAATTTCATTACCTTGTTTGATCTTTTAAACCTTAGCTTATAGTTAGTGCCAACTTTTTATATTTTATATTTTAGGGGCCCATATCAGAACAAATATTTTGCTTTAAAATGTTTGATTGTTGTAAAAACCCTACTAAGAACAATACAGTGAAATAGAAGGTCACATGGGCCTTGAAGTAGCTCCACAAGGGCCCAAAGGATCGGTTACTCTAGACAGTTGAGCGGACTGCTTCAAACTATTTTTTGGGGTTATAGGAGCACATCAGATATCTACTTTAGTATCAAAATATGATACATTGTAGAAATGGGGCTTTGAAAGCCAAATATGGTCGCGTTTATCGACCAAATTTTTGGCTAGAATCAGGTTTCTCAAACGTCTTTCAGGCAAATTTAGGAGGTGATAAACGCAAAGCCATGGGCATATCTAAAGACGCAAAAAGGTGTGTTTTGAATGTGACATACAGCCAGAATCACATTTCTGAGAGACCGATAAACGCAAAGCTGTTTTGAACCTCACATGCAAATAGGAATTCCCAGGCTAGTCTGCTTCCCGGGTCAAACGGCGCTGAGCAGCTGCGAAGAGACAAGGCCTTTATTGTGAATTGTGAAGAGACGATAAACACGACATCCCGCAAATCACGATCGTATAGTGGGGTACGATATGTACATATCTAGTGGCAAGCCCCGATAAACGCGCCCTATGTCTAAGGTACCCAAAATCTTATTCTAAGGGCCCAAATATAACACATGTGATTCAATAGCATAAAACTATAGTCATGAATGATACATTATACACCAAGGGCACCTACATTTTCCATTACAAGGTTTAAGATCCCTTTTCTTGATTAAATCATACATATATGGCCCCATGGGCCCATTTTTTAATCAAGGATATCTATTCAAAATGCCAGGTTAGCCTCATTTATTACTTCATATTTTAGTAGATTATAAATTGTAGATATTTCATACAAAAATATTGGTATGAATTCTGCTAAACATTGTAGGAATCGTTTCACTTCAATTAGTTTGAATGGGATACCTGCCCCTGCACGAGACTTGGGAGCAGGGCCCCTAAATTGCCCTACTGGTCCAATATTGTCCCTTATTGGGAGGGCCTCTCTTCTATCGGCTCAGATGAGCGTAGGGTCTTTGGAATGCTTATTTAAAAATATCCCTAGATCTATCTCTAGCGCTTAGAGACTTTGGTGGTAAGCGCTTTATAAGTAACGTTTTTATTATTATTATTATGATAATATGAGATTCGACCTTCTTTTTATTCCCGATTTCAAATCCTTTTTTAAAATAAGTACTTTAATGTATTAAACACAAATTATGAAAACGTCATTTAAATGTAAATGAACTGTTAACTCTGGTAAATGTATTTTTTGGTGTGAATAAAAGACTTTTGCCATATACACAAATTTACGTTTAGACAATATTTTCTGTTGTCAGAAATTGTGCCTTAGATTGACAATAGTATCAATCAGTTCCATGGATTTTGTACTTTTAAAGTGACTGTGTGTATGTGAATTCACCAGGATATGATTCCAGTCCATAATCACAGGACCCTCACCTCTGTCTCCACATATCGACTACAAGTAGTAAGTCTGTCAACATATAGCAAAGTATAAGAACAAAGGATCTTTAATCAATCGGGTTGCCCATGATTCATCTTTTAAAATGCCCCCTCCCCCAAAAATAAAAAAATAAAAAAATAAACAAAAATGAATAAATAAATAGAAAAAGAAAAGAAAAGAAAAAAACTATCTATACAATATACATGTATTTATAAATATATCTTTAGTTTCAAGTTTTCAACTATGTAAATGTTGAATTGAATTGAATTTATCCTCTTCTGCAAAACATACAAACCAAATTACATTTCAATGATACAACATATACAAAATATAACAATTTTTTTTTGTATACACAATATGATAACAATAGAAATGTTGACATTAAAACAAAATGTAACTGATAACACACTATCAAGAATTATTCAGTAATAAATCTGCAGAAGAAAAAGGGCAGTCATGATAAGCGTTTGCTTGATAGCGCGTTAGCCCGAGGCAGGGTGGATCATTACAATTTTTTTTTAATTGATGATGGTGATGATGATGTTGATGATAATAATGAAAATGAAAATATGTTGATGTAAATATGATCGACACAGAAAAGTTAAAGCATACAGGATACATGATGGATGTTTATAAAAATCTGGAAAAAATATTCAATATTTAATCAGGATTGGGAAAAGATCAAACAATGAATGTACTCTATAAGCCACAAAACACTTGTATACAAAGGTAGTTGAACTGTGACATAATGCTATTTAGCATGTGGCCCTTCCCAGCTGGTACATTAGATGTTCAATCACCAAGTGTGTAATTTAGAAGAACAAAAAACAAATATACCCTTTTCTCTCTTCCCTAGATATAATGTATGTCTCCCTTTTACTATTCTTACTTCTATCCGACTATCCATAGTCTTCTACCCCTCCACGTTGCATTGCTTCTCACTTCTCACTCTATTTGTCTCTCTCTCTCTCTCTCTCTCTCTTTGTCTGTCTATCTCTCTGTCTGTCTCTCTCTCTCTTTCTCTCTCTCTCTCTCTCTCTCTCTCTCTCTCTGTATTTGCTGGATTCTCCAACTCCCCGTCTTCCAATAGTGAATCAAAATATGTCAAACAGTGCTCAGAAGTCAATTTATATTTACAATTTATTTACAATTCTATTCACAATTTCAATGATCATAACATAAGTCTTCATTCAAGTCTCAAGAACGCCTGCTGCGCCTCCTCCAACAAAAACAGCATAAAAATTGCCACCATTTCTGTCTTCTTCCAGTTACAACAGCCTGATCTTTGTTATCTTGATCACTCTCCTTCTTCCTATCTTCATTCTTTACATGAAGCTTCCTCTCCTCTTTGAAGTCTTTGGCCTCTTGTATCCCCTCCAACACCTCTTTCATTTCGTTAATGATCTTTTCATCCTTGTGTGTTTGCCCCTTCTTCATCTTCATCTTCTCCATCCGCGTATCGTTCCACAAGCTTTCAGCAAATTCTCTTAACTCCTCCGTCATTTCTGACGGCTTCACTACCTTCTCGTCCTCTAGATATGTGTCCTCCTCTGTGACATTAGCCTCCGCAACCAAAGTGATTGCCTGCTCCTCCACCGCCTTCGTCTCCTCCTCCTCAGCCTTTATCATCTCCTCCTCCTCAGCCTTCATCTCCTTCTCCTCAGCTATCAGCTCCTCCTCTGCCTTCAACTCCTCCTCCTTTACCTTCATCCCCTCCTCCTCTGCCTTAACCTCCTCCTCTTCCTCCTCTGCCGTCATCTCCTCCTCAGCCTTTATCTCCTCCTTCCCCTCCTCTGGTTTCACCTCCTTTTCTGCCTTCCTTAAATTTTCCTCCACATCCTCTGCCCTCATCTCCTCTTCCTCGACCTTTAGCCCCTCCTCCTCTGCCTTCAGCTCCTCCTCCCATTCTACCGCTTCCTTTGCTTCCTTCTCCTGTATGATTTCCTCCTCATCAGTCGTCAGCTCTGCGCCCATCCCTTGGAGATCCTGGACAAACTCGTTAATCTGGTTTGTCTGAATGTCATTTATCTCCTCCTCCTCTTCTGCCTTCAGCCCCTCCTCGTCTGCCTTCATCTCTTCCTCCTCTGCCTCCAGCTCCTCCTCCTCCTCTTCCTTCATCTCCTCCTCTACCTTCAGCCCCTCTTCGTCTGCCTTCATCTCTTCCTCCTCTGCCTCCAGCTCCTCCTCCTCCTCCTCTTCCTTCATCTCCTCCTCTACCTTCAGCCCCTCCTCGTCTGCCTTCATCTCTTCCTCCTCTGCCTCCAGCTCCTCCTCCTCCTCCTCCTCTGCATTCAACTCCTCCTCTACCTTCAGCCCCTCCTCGTCTGCCTTCATCTCTTCCTCCTCTGCCTCTAGCAGCTCCTCCTCCTCCTCTTCCTTCATCTCCTCCTCCTCCTCCCATTCTACCGCTTCCTTTGCTTCCTTCTCCTGTATGATTTCCTCCTCATCAGTCGTCAGCTCGGCGCCTTTCTTTTGGAGATTCTGGACAAACTCGTTAATCTGGTTTGTCTGAATGTCATTCATCTCCTCCTCCTTGACCTTCAGCCCCTCCTCCTCTGCCTTCAACTCCTCTTCCCATTCTACCGCTTCCTTTGCTTCCTTCTCCTGTATGATTTCCTCCTCATCAGTCGTCAGCTCTGCGCCCATCCCTTGGAGATCCTGGACAAACTCGTTAATCTGGTTTGTCTGAATGTCATTTATCTCCTCCTCCTCTTCTGCCTTCAGCCCCTCCTCGTCTGCCTTCATCTCTTCCTCCTCTGCCTCCAGCTCCTCCTCCTCCTCCTCATCCCATTCTACCGCTTCCTTTGCTTCCTTCTCCTGTATGATTTCCTCCTCATCAGTCGTCAGCTCAGCGCCTTTCTTTTGGAGATCCTGGACAAACTCGTTAATCTGGTTTGTCTGAATGTCATTCATCTCCTCCTCTTCTGCCTTCACCTCCTCCTCCTCCTCTGCATTCAACTCCCCCTCTACCTTCAGCCCCTCCTCGTCTGCCTTCATCTCTTCCTCCTCTGCCTCTAGCTCCTCCTCCTCCTCCTCTGCCTTCATCTCCTCCTCCTCGCATTCTACCGCTTCCTTTGCTTCCTTCTCCTGTATGATTTCCTCCTCATCAGTCGTCAGCTCTGCGCCTTTCTTTTGGAGATACTGGACAAACTCGTTAATCTGGTTTGTCGGAATGTCATTCAGATAGACATACTCACTGAAGGCAAGAGTCTCTGCCCACTCGTGCTGAAATCTAGGAACTACTCGATTTGCTGAATAATGAAAACAAATTGGAGAAGACCAATATCATGATATCGTATGATACATCATATATTTTGTATCCAAAATCAACAGCGACCATCAAGTATTTTAGTTTCAAGGATTTCTACGACTTTAATAATTATGCAAACGATTTTCCACATCCGCTTTCATTTGAAATTTGAACATTTTGGAACAATGAGTAATGGATTTTTTCATCAGTCTTTGTATTCTAACTTCAAAGCTTATTTAATCCACAGAAATGTTTTTGCATTTTTTTCTAAATACATGACAACATCATTAATGAGAGTAAAACAATTCATACATAAAAATTAATATGAGAAGTGATATCCAAAAAATTACTTGTATACAATCATGGTGCTATACAGTATCGAAGCAATTTAAATGATTTAGACTTAGTATAGGAAACGTACAGGAGTAGGAGTCTATTATAACTAACGCTTGTCTTCTAAAGATCACTGTCTGTATTTAAAAAAAAAGCCCGATTATTTTGATGTTGCATAATTATGATATTGATTTTTAACCTAAATCATGAAGAAAAACATATCGCAATAAATTATTCTAGTTGTATGATATCGACGTGTTTTCTAAATATGACTTACGTTCGTCACTCATGATGAAAGATTGAAATCAAAGACAATTAGACAACTATTCTGATATATTCAGAAAAAAAGCTACTAAATCGATGTTATAGCTAAGAGCGCTTACATCAATAATGATAAAAAGATAACTTTGTAACCATGCGGATCATGACGCATGCGCATCACCGCACCCATTACGTCACAATTGAGCGCAGTTGTCAATTGAGCGCAGAGGACAACAAAATTGCGCGCTTATTCAAGAAAGTTGAAAGGGGTTCACAATTAAATGTCTTGATTTAAAAGTTATAATTTTGCCGTTAATGGGAATGTTGCGTAATCAGTCTGTATGATCTTGAAATCACCTTTTACATATACAACTGATACAAGTTTTACTAAATGTCAGGATGACACCAAACGAAACTTCTTACGTTCATTTCCTCCTATCACTTTCTCTCTCTCTCTCTCTCTCTCTCTCTCTCTCTCTCTCTCTCTATCTCTCTCTTATCTACCTCCCCCTCCCCCTCTCTGTCTCTCTAATGTCTCTTACTCACTCTTTTGTTTTCTTCTTTGTGTTACAACAGCCTGATCGTTGTTATCTCGAACACTTTTGTTCTTCCCATTTGTTTCCTTTCCGCTTATCTTCCCCTCCTCTTTGAAGTCTTGTGCTTCCTGTTTCTCCACCACACCTCTTGTGCTCTCTTTTTCCTCCATCTGCTTTTGCCGTTTCTTTTTCATCTTCTTCATCCACATCTCATTCTAGAAGGTTTTAGCAAACTCTATTAAACTCCTTCATTTCTGAATCCTTCTCCATCTTCCACTTAATCTTCACCTTGCCTTGTAGCTCATCGTCTTCCACCAATACAGTTAACAGCTCCTCTTCGTGCTTCGGCTCATCCCATTTCTCTGTCTTCCTCTCCTTCTTTGCCTTCAACCCCTCCTCTTCTGTCTTCTTTTCCTCATCTGCCTTCATCTCCTCCTCCTCCTCTGCCTTCCTCATCTCCTCCCCAGCTGCGTTCATTTCCTCATCTCCCATCTCTGCCTTCTCATCTTTCACCCCCTTCTCTGCCTTCACATCCCCCTCCTCTGCCTTCTTCTCCTCCCCCCTCTGCCTTCAACCCCTCCTCAACCTCTGCCTTTAGCTCCTCCTCCACTGCCCTAATCTCCTCCTCCTGCCCTGCTTTCATCTCCTCTTTATGTACCTTCCTCTCTTCCGGTATACCGATCATCTCGTCCTCTTCCTCTGCCCTACTCTCCTCCTGTGCCTTCGTCTGCTCCCCTCTGCCTTCATCTCCTCCTCCTCCTCCTCATCTGTCTTTCCTCCTCCTCTACCGTCCTCTCCTTCTCCTCTGCCTTCGTCTCCCCCTGCCTTCATCTCCTCCTCTACATCCATCTCCTCTTCTGTCCTTATCTCCTCCTCTGCCTTCATCTTCTTCTCCTCCTCTACCTTCATATCATTCTCCTCTCCCTCCTCCTCCTCCTCTGACTTCAAATCCTTTCATCGCATCTGCCTTCAATTCATCCTCTCCCGCCTTCATCTTCTCCTCTGCCTTTATCTCAAATATCCTCTTCCTCTCCCTCCTCCTCCTCCCCCTACTCTTCTGCCTTCATCTCATCCTCTGCCTTCAACTACTCCTCTGCCTTCCACTTCTCCTTATCGACATTTAAAGATAGAAAAGAGAGAAAGAGGTCGAAAGGAGTCTAGATTGAAGAGCGAAATAGTATGGAGAGAGAGATGGAGAGAGATAGGAACGAAAAATAGACGCGGTGGAGGAGGCAAAATGAAGAATGAATAGACATGTTTACTTAATTTAGCAACCAAAAGAAAGGATTTTGAACCTATTGGATATTTATATAGCGCACACATCCACCATGTATGGTGCTCAAGGCGCTCCAACTATTACCCGGCTCTGCTAGGCAGCCAATTTCGGCGCTCACAGCATTCAAGGAATTGCTTCCTACCGGTACTCATTTAACACCTGGGTAGAGAGTGGCAAATGTAGATTAATATCTTGCCAACGGACATGAGTGCCGTGGCGGGACTCGAACCGCGAACCCTGTGATCCACAGTCCGACGACTGTGATATCAATTATTTTATTGAATTTAATTGCAGCTTTTTAAAGGCTCGAAAAGGGCACATTTATTTCGTTTACTTGTCTTTTTCTATAATGATTTATTTTGAATGTCATTTCACTAAAAATCGATTGGCTGACGAGTACAAGCAAATGGCAACGGCGCCCCCCCCCCCTCTCTCTCTCTCTCTCTGTGGCTCTGTCTCTGTCTGTCGCTCTCTTCTCTTTCTATTTCATTCTTCTCTCTGTCTTCCTCTTTATGTTGTCATATCTGACTCGATCTATCTCTCACTTTCCTATTCGGTTTCTTTATATCTCTTTACCCCTATCTCTCTCTCTCTCTTTCTCTCTCTCTCTCTCCCCCTCTCTCTGTGTCTGTCTCTTTCTCTCTCTGTTGCTTGTGAAAGTCACAAAAGGTTACTTTTGTGCAAAGAATACTTTTGTTATTAAAATGCTTTCCTGTTCAAATAATTTATTATTGAATCCTTATATATACACACATATTAAGAAAAATTGACTAATATTTCTCTTCACTTTATGTTTGAACCACTTTCATAAAAAAAAGATATCCTTGGCATAATACATGTACATGGGTGTCGATCCGTAACTGATACCTATTCATCAGGGGGGGGGGGGGATGATCTATTCATTCATCCCCCCTGATGAATAGGTATCACGTAAGGATCGACACCCATGTACATGTAGCAACATGTTAGTGATCATTCAGAGTTAACATTTTTGGTAAATAACATTAGTATACTTTGCAGCGCTGAATCACTTCCACATTCATATAAAACCAGATTTTAATCAATATGAATTCTGTAATATCGTAATACCACTCTATAACTTGGCAAATCCATGCATGTGAACAACTTGATCTATGTTTCATACTCAAAAACTCAAAAAATTCTTTTCCAAGTAAAATGAGACCAATAATATTAATTTTGGGTACAGCGTTTTAATTCTAGGGCTATTTCAGTGAGACAATGTCATTATTTCATCATTTTCAAAATTGGCTACTTTTGCAACCTTGGCCACGCCAGATGCATCACAAATTTCTGCTTGACGGCTTTCTATCAGATCCCAACTTTGCGTAATGAACGCCCCCCGTTTCATTAATGTTGTCTTTGTTTTCAAAGCGAGAGCAGTCATGCACTTGTCAAAACTGCCTCAAGCAGGAATGCAGTTGAAAGATGGCAAAACTTTTGAAAATGACATTGCCTCATTAAAATCGCCCTAGGATCAACATGCCTAACCCACCAAATTGATGATCTTGGTGTATTTTCACTGGAAAGAGAATTTTCTATCCAATAATTAAAAAAAAACAGTCAATGACAATTCATCTATGGTGTGGTTAAAATCACATATCCTCAGCTTTTGCATTGATTATCAATCAGTGTAATATCCCTACTCCACAAATTAAAACAATGTACATTTATTGGCAAGAAAATAACGATATTAATTTACATGCTATTTCAAATGCTAATCATTCTAAAAACAAAACTTTTGTTCATGTGATCCAGCATTTAACAATTTACAGTTCTTTCTCTTACTGTCTTCTACAAGCAAGTAGAGATACTTTATGAGCTTCGAACTCTTCTTTTTATTTAATGAATGCAACAATTAAGTATGACTGAGAAAGAAGTATTTATACATGTACTTTACCATGGCTCAAAATAAAGAGTTGCCCAGGTCCCAAAGACCACCTCAGGTAATTCCCCTGGGCAACCTAAACCTCATCAGATTGTTGCCAAGATGGCAACTTAAAATAATCTATGTGTTTGTGATGTTTCCAGGGAATTTGGTCTCATTCACAACTAATTACTGTACACTCGGCACTTGACAAGCACAAGGTACGATAAGAAGAAGAATTACTGTCAATAAGTAGTTGAATTTGACAATTTGCTAGGAAATCATCAAAGGAGCCTGGCTGGCAATAAAGTTAACAAATGTTGAAGGCGTCGTTTAACAATGTTAAATCTGAGATACATGGCCCTCCATGTTATCAGTGTCTGTGATATGGTGTAATATTAAAGCCCTAGAAAAAGAAATGCTTCAAAATGATCATGAAGTGCCTCAAAAAAGTAAAAACCTTTGAGTGACTGGTTTTACCATACTCATTTTCCCCAGTAGACTGTAGTGTTATAAAAACCGTTAGGAAAACGAAAAATGATTTTTCGATTTCCAATCATAAATATTTTGATAATCAGACAGCTGATCGGCTTGTAAAAGTCATGGGATTCCTGACTGACCTAAAGGTTTATAATTATGATTGCAGCTTGAGCTTAATCCAGGATTTTGTTTCAGAATCTGAGGAAATGTTACAGAGTCACTTTAAGTAAGAGCCCAGCTTACTTTCTATTCACTCTTCAAATTTCAAGTATGACGAGCAGCACTTAAAGCCAGTTTCTGACTTGTATCCACTTCTTTTCAGTCCATACTGCTGCGTACTACATCTTCCTTGTTCGTTGATATCACACCGAGTTGTCGTTCTCTAGTCTCTACAAAAGGTTTTGTTTATATCATCAGCATTCTACTCCATATTTATCAAAATTCTTGAGAATGATCCCGAGCTGACAGTGAACTTTCCCCATAGCCACCGTCTGGAGGGTATAGCGCTCTGCACTCTGCACCATGTCGGCGTTCCGCAGCTGTGGTGCGCCACCTATGAAATACTGTGAGACCTGTTCACGGAATGTTCCTGACGGTCGCCATGTCGGGCATTGGATGTCGTGTGTACCAGGAGAGGTTGGCAAGTGACAGAATCCATAGCCATAGAGTTCATTACGTCCAAACTCATCTTGGTGGTATACCTCAAACTTTAATTTAGGCCATCCTGAATGAAACAAAAGGAATATATTTGCTTCTTATCATTTAAATTAAAAGACCGGTATGATAGAGAGAGGGCATAGGTACATGTATACATACAGGGGTCAAATTATCTTCTGAAAATGAAGTGTACTTGATTTTATTTAACCTGTTGACTACCGGTAATGAATTTTTCATTCCCATGAGCTCAATACAGAAACCATCTGACTTTCGTCAGGGATGGGTTAACATCTCTTTTCTCTCTGTAAAACAAAGTTGTTTCAAGCCACTTCATACTTGGATTTGCCATCCATTCTAGTCAGATAGTATAATTCTTCATTCATTCTGTCATGGTAAATATCTCACAAAGCATAACATTTAGTTTCATGATACCACTAGTTTTAAAACATCTATTCTTCTTTCGTGTCCATCATCTGAGCTCAAATGTTCTGCCAGGTTCTTGCACAATGAAGAGCCTTCTCATTTGCTGCCACTAGGTCTTCAAGGCAGCATTGGTCAAAACATCTAAATGTATCATTGACCTGTTCTTAAATTGGACGTGCAATGAGTTATTTCGTACCTTGTAATCCTTTGGTAGCAAAGTGTATATCAATAGGATGACTCCAGACTGCAAAGTTTTCATTCTGTGGTAGATCCACCTGCGTCTGTCCTTCTCTAGCTCCTGCTATTACCTTCCATGCTCCACCTTAAACAAAAACAAAAACTCATAATAATAACATTGGATTCTTATGTAGCGCACGTATCTCCCTTGCAAGGTCCTCAAGGCACTCCAACATTACCCGGCTATGCTAGGCTGCCGATTTTGACGCTCACAGCATTTTAAGAAATTCCTTCCTACCGGTACCCATTTAACATCTGGATGGAAAGTGACAAATGTAGATCAATGACAGCAATAAATGCTCCTGCTTTTATAGAGCACATTTCTAAATACCGGTACCAGAGCAAACAACTCTCAATGTGTTAATCCTCAAAATAAAATATGAAGTGCATACTCTTTAATAATGTATTTACAATTCAATAAACAGTATCACTAAATAGCAAGACATATCTGAAAATAACATCTTAAACTGCAATTCATCTGTTGATATTTATTTATGCATCAATTATGTAATGACAATTTATGTATATATACTTTTTGTGGGTGTGGTTTTAAAACATAAATTGGCAAATTTTTTCCAACTTAAAGCTTACTTCTGTACTTATTCAACCCACTTTCTGTGTATACCTTTTCAAACCTTCAATTTTTCTTTTAAGGTATGCCTCCCCAAACCTTTTTATAATATAATTTATGCCTCAATATTTCTTTAGTTATCAACATTTCTATGTTTTATTTTGCTGTTTTATTAACTTTTGAATCCTTTTTTTATCATCAAATTTATATTTAATGTATATTACGTTTGTTTTTATTATGGTCTATGAAATAAATACAAAATGTAATGAAATGAACTGAAACTAGAAAATACATACAACAACAACATATTAATACATGTAATATATGTACTGATGTACAAGTAGTACTGTGCTTGATATACACACCAGAAAAGACACCCTTACTCCTTCATTAATACATACACAACAAATTCAAATTAATATTCGTTTCATATTGTCATTGGTGCAAAAAATAAGAAATACCAGAAATATTTATTACTGGTACCTTATAATTGCTCTTTAATCTTATCAGTGCTTTTAGAAATTTGCTTAGGCTACAAATAGAAAAAGTTCAAAGTTCACATCAACTATGCTCACCTGTGTGTAATTTCCATTTGCAGTATAGATTTTGATTTGGAAACCCACTTGCTCCAAGGATCTGCCCAATAACATGAACCTCTGCCATTTCCAGACCTGAAAAATTCAACATGGTGAAATGCCAAGTTTTTATTTTTTTTTATGGTTGAATTTGCTGATTATTCTGATGTAATTATTTTAAAAAAACATCGGAGGTTGATTGCGGTGTAAGAATTAAAATTAGACTCATTCCATTTTTTTTAAAAGAGCTAGAATATCAATTTAACATCATAGATACAATTTGAATTTACTCAATTTCCTGTGTCTGCAATAAACATGGTACATGTATTATAACAGATAACGAGAGAAAAAAGAAATGTTTCTTTTTTTATGAGCTTGGTTCTTTATACACCTGTATCTGACCAACTATTATTCATGAATCTTGTGTGAATGCTTTAGGTATTTCCACTTTTACTTATCATTGGTTCTTTTCTTCTTTTCCCTTTTGAATATTCAGTCTAACTCACTAATCTTATTTCGCTATTGGTTTATGAACTATTTCATTTGAATATATTTTGCTTAAAAAATTTACAGCATGAGGCTGCATAGGAGCCTAAAAGACAGACAGACCTGCGTAAATATTCATAATTGAATGACACACGCCCTTAAGACTAAAACAACAACAACCGCACTGGACATGATTTGAGTCAGTTGTATTGATATAGGGCTCTGCTACTTTATGGTGGAGACTTAAGGGGCTTTCACACCTGGCCTTGCGTAGTGTTGCATACAGACAACGCCGAGCTTAGGCTAACCTATGCTAGCCTACGTAACTGTACACTGAGGGACGCAAATAGGTACGTGAGATGGACACAAAAAAATTATTGCCCAGTATTCGGTCATTTAAGGGGAAATTGCTAATATTTTGAATTCTTACCTCTTTTATTTGCTAATCTACCCATCAAAAGAAAAGAAATTTAATCCTCTAACAGGATTTTATAGTTACTTAAAATATGGAATAATGATAAGCAAAATACTTCCGAAAGAAGATGGAGCATTTTTCTGCCCAGAATTCGGTCGCGCCGAATAGAATTCGGTCACACGATTTGTGCGTGCAATCTCCGTTGCCAAGGAGCAAAGCGTATTTGCGCACTATTTTCACACAATTGCACGATAAAGCACTGAATGTCAATGCACTGACCGAATACTGGCCAAGCGATACCACATGGCAAGGGTATAGTACATGTATAAATACCTCTTGCACATCGGCAAGTGCATCATTTGCAACTTCGCTGCGATGGAGTGAACATGGAAGTGATTCTCTTCACACACATACTAAATTTATTGCGACAGCACACGTAGTTGTTTCGCAATAGACTTCTACATATGGCTATGCATGTTAGCGCATTTGCTAAGAGAACGCGGAAGTGCAGAAAGTTGTGCGACACTGACCACTTTCGAGCTAAGTTGGAGATCTTTCCGGGGCCCTAAATCTGATTTAATTTTGAGAGTTAAGAAAAGTTGTTTAGCTGCCTGATTTGTGCAAGTTTCGTGGCTCATAAATTATTTTTTTAATTGTTACAGCTGTTGAAACGGCTGTCTGACCGAATACTGGGCGCGCTACCCTAATCTAGATCTATTCTTAGTTTACGGTCGCTAACTGAACACACACGTGCCCGCACCCCTCCGTCGGTACGGTATGCAATTGTATTGTGCTTCAGTTTGCCGTGAATCCCATGAGAAAGTGCAATTATAAGTCTTTGTTTTTAGGAAAAAATACTCAGAAAAAGATAAGAAAATTTACACGAAACTGGTAACAAACATATCGACTTTTAAATCATGACCTTTATTTATTTGGACATTTGATGAACATTTACTTCATTTTGGGTATGTTTAACTAGGGTATCTCCACACAGGAGTTACGGGTCAAAGTTTGGATAGACTTCTGAACTAGCAAGCATGCAGTGCTAGAGGTCAATACACATTTGCATTGACTCTCTTAGACTGAAAGCTTCAGTCTCTATATCGTCGATTGTTCCACTGAGACTACATCTGGCTCCACTAGACCTTCGGATATAGAGACTGAACGATCGCCTATGCCATCGTACGTTGAAGATACAGTCTACGGGTATACAATAAGACGATACTGCCCTGACGCTAAGTTAAATCCTTTTTTTGTAAGAATCGCATGCACTATCATATACAATTCGCATTTAAAATTAAACCACACATGATAAACATTAAGAAAATATGTACCTTGGACCTCTGCATATGAAATCTTCTTCAAAAAAGTGTTATTATCTCTTCCACTTGACTGTCTTCAGACGTCAGCCATCTTGAATCAAAGTAATGAATATTCATGCAAAGTTTTATAGTCTCCACCCCATTGACCTCATAGACGTGCGCGTACATGTACATAACGCTGCTGCTACTCACGTTTGAGTTCTCGTGTTGTCTGCTTCACGTGCGCGCGCTATCCTCGATGTGACGCACGGAGGAGCTAGCCGAGGCGAGGTCATTGAATATTCATTAGCCACCATTTTGATTTCTGTCGTTCAATGCTTGACGTGGGTCATCGAGAAGCAGCCAAAAGCTCGGTAGACCCGTCCTTTTATTTCTTTTATATTTCTTTTTCGTGGGGAAGGGGGGTAAAGAGGGAACTTTTAGTGACTGACAATTGCCTAGAAAATTACTGCAATTGAAGATAAATGATGTAGGGTCTAGGTCTATTTCTCGTGAAGTTTGTCATGTTTGTGGGAGGGGCCTAACGGCTAAAATCTAGCCGTGATATCTTCAACATACGATGGCATAGGCGATCGTTCAGTCTGTATATCCGGAGGTCTAGTGGAGCCAGACGTAGTCTCAGTGGAACAACCGACGATATAGAGACTGAAGCTTTCGATCTATGACTCTCTATGCTTCGCTGGAGTGCATGATCATTACACTACATCATACATGTAATATTTCAAACCATGTCAACCAACACATTTTCTAACGATATGGGACTGAAGTAAATTCGGCGTACCTAGCAACGGAGTTTATTCATTTAAGAACTTCGGCAAATCAAAATATAAATACATTTGGGTTCATAGATATTTACTTACTGGATTCCTACTAGGTTAAATTCCAAATACTAAGGAGGGCAGATTTTAGCCAACCGTTAATCCTTCGTCTCTTTTGTCCTTCGTCTTCGCATTCGGTATGAAAATTCCGCTTCGCAGTTCAAAAATATTTCAAAATCGTCCGTGCATATCGTGCAAATTCGACCTATTTTTTCGGTACATAACGGTATTTCGTACCGGTACCACTGTATATAGGTCACTAGCATGTCTGAACTTTTATGGTTATTTATCTCCAGAGAGTCTTCAGGGAGATTTAGGGTTCATATTATAAGCCATATGAAAACAAACAAAGTTGCTTGCTTAAATTTGGTTTATGGGGGAAATTAAAGTCCATGTTTGCACACATTAAAGGTAATACAAAGTTTTGGTATGGGGACATGAATTTGGTTCAAATGAATATATTGGAAGCATAATTATGCGACCCTACAATATTCAGTGATCGTTGTCGCGGTTGAAATCGAGTCTAAAGTTATGAAATTGTAAATAATAACTCTTTATGTTGTATAGCTCCCTCTCAAGTTAAAGATATTAATTAAGCTATAAAACGATGTTTCTTGACTAAAATTGACCAATTAGCTATACCCGTTTGGAAATTATATATTACAACTACATATTCTGAAATTTTCATGGTCACAGCTACCATTGTATTATATTAAAATGAGATTGGAAAAAGAAAGAAAAATAATAATTTTACCAAGACATTAAAATAAAGAGTTGCGATGAAATTGGCAACAATAGTCAAATTTGACTAATAGCCATTATAATACCAAACGAACAACAACAACAACGTATAGGCGCTATTTGAAATTTATCAGAATTTACCGGGAGCACCGGTAAATCTTTATATTCTATTTTTCTCGAAAGCAGAAGTGTTTTAGGGGCTAAATTTTTTAGTGCTTTTAATACATACACAGGGGCATCCAAATATATAAAAAATGTATGTATCACTATCCACCCAATTTTCAAAATTTCCCAAAACTTTGTTTTACCTTTAATTAAAATGATGGCTTTATAGGGGGCGTTGCTCGCTTGCGTGTTATGTGCTCCAAAATCGACTTACTTTAATTAATTCAGATTCCAACCATTCTTGAAAGAAGAAAAAAAATTGTCCTTCTCTCTCTCTCTCTCCCTCTCTCTCCCTCCCTCCCTCTCTCTCTCTCCCTCTCTCTCTCTCTCTCTCCCTCCCTCCCTCTCTCTTTCTCTCTTTCTCTTCCCCCCTCTCTCTCTATATCTCTCCGACTCTATCCCGCCCCACCCCCTCTCTCTCTCTTTATCAAGTTCCCACCGGCCTTCTCTTTTACTTCTCACTCTTTATAGCACGTCATGACCATTAACTATCTCTCTCTTTAGATCACATGCACTCCAATCGATTCAACCATTGAACTCGATATATTTTGCGAAGGGATTGTGAGACATTATAGTTAACCCCTAAAATAAGAGAAAACAAAACAAAGTAACGATGATAATGAAGCCCACGATTTGATCTGTATTATTTCTACATTATAGAATTGAGATGAGCTATTGGACTATCGACTGCAGCCTCTCTGTTTTTAATAAAGCCCTCTACGCAAATTGTGCCTCGATGTGTATGCCTGTTTTTTTTATATTTTTAACCGTACGTTCTTCTTTAAACGATTACAGGAACAAAAAGTGACAATTGCATTCGATCTTTTTCATAGAAATATATTTATTGCATTTACATTCAAAAGAGATATTATCACAAATACATATGTCATGATAAAGTTGGCAGAACGCATTGTATTACGTGCATTTTACCCATCGTTTAACCAAGCCTCCTGTCTATATTGACTGTGCTTCTTTCTCTTCTTATTTTGTTCCGTAATGTTCCGGACGTGTAAGGCGTGAGATAAAGAACACACTGAAGAATATTATTTACATTAATTCAGCTAATAACAGCCAGACCTACATTCATAGAGATAGAGGAATGCAGAGATAAGAACATTTTAAATGTCAATATTGATTTAAGGAAAGAATATAGGACTATTATATTTACATGAATATCGTGATGAAATCGACATAATGAGATTTTATGGAAATATTTTCTTTGGCATGATTGCAAACCCTTTACATAAGCATATACGAATACATGTGTGTATATTTTTGTGATTTATTTAACAATCAAGAAAATATATACATGTACATAATCCGTTTTGACCGGATCGATATTATTAGGCTGATAGTCATTTTGGTCTCATTCACCATCAAATAAAGATATTAACAAAGCATATAAAGATCTTAAATTGAGTGTTACTATAATATACTTTGGTATTATTTGGTGGGAATATATTCGTTTCATCCTGTGTGCATATGGTTAATTTAAAGTTTTGATTTTAATCCTTTCCGATACGATACTATTTTTTTCTTCAAAAGGGAGGGGGGGGGGGGCGGGCGTAAAAAATAGGATGTTCTGTTTATAAACGGAGCTGTTTCCATGGCTATTACTTTATCGTCAGTGTCAGTTCGAGAGCATTTTTCATCTTTATCTCATCGTGTGTTTAGAAATGACCTGTAGATTGAAGATAAAACAACAAACAGACAGGTATTAATGTATCATAATTATAAAAAATATATCGTTTTATTTGTAATTATTATATTTTTGAAGAATATGTCTTTTCAGAATGTCATGGCTTGGACCCCGTTCAATAATTTTTAGTGTCAAACAGTGAACAATAAATTAATTCTCTTGATTATTAAGAAAGAAAAAATACATAGAAGAACACATAAACACAGGACAAGATGAAATGCAACTAAATTATTACAGCTTGGTACTGTATGATAGTAGTTTATTAGTCTGCGATTGATTGGAGGACTTGTCATATTTTATCAGGATCACGGGTATTTACCTGGATAATGGCCATGTTGAGGAGGATGATGAGGGGGTCCATGGTGAGTAGGATGATGAGGCGGTCCATGATGAGGAGCAGCATGAGGCGGTCCATGGGGATGTGGTCCGTGGTGGTGGGGAGGCTCGTGATGAGGCTGGGGCTGTCAAGGTCAAGGTAAATAAAAGTAGTTAACTTTAATTGTTTTACAAGCAAGCGACTTCAACTTTTAGACACGGCATCAAACTTTGAAATGATTAATACGGTTGATTGGTTTCGTTTTTGTGAGGTGTCTTTGATTGATTGATTGATTGATTGATTGATTGATTGATTTGTATTCGCCAAGCTTCCAACATACATACATAGTAATATACAAGAATAACAGATCAAAAAGTCCCCCCCCCCCTCTCTCTCTGTGTGTGTGTGTCTCTCTCTCTCTCTCTCTGTCTCTGTCTCTCTCTCTGTCTCTTTCTCTCTTACACTCGCCTGCCCTGCAATTTTGTACCTTCATTTGATAACTCTGCACATGAATACTTACATGAGGGTACGGTTGATGATGGGGATGCATTGGAGGGGGACAATAATGAGGTGGTGGAGGGGTGTGGCAATGCTGGTGGGGGTGGGCCGCATGATGATGGCTGTCGGCTCGATCGGCAGCTGCTTCCGCACGGTGATGAGCATTGTGCGACCGAGCCTATATAAACGAAAGAAAATAAAAATCCATTATAATTATTATAGCACCTCAAGTTTATCTATACACCGTTGCCAATACGTAAGACAGAAATAATGTGTAAAGAGGTTTTCTCTTGAGACATGAAGATAAAGTAGGTCGATGTTTAGTTGAAACTGCTTTAAGTCTCATTATGTATTCATGTTATGCGCTACATTTTCATTTGTTTTATTTTATTTTATGGTTTGGGGTGGGTTTTTTTTCTCCTAATTTATATTGTTTCTACTGTTAATCTGAGTTATTTTTTTAAATCAATAAAAACGGAAAGGTTTTTTTTAAGTCGATGTTTATCACTGGCACGATCGGCTCGTCCCTCACTCCATTGAAACCTTACTGGCTAACTTTATTATTAGAAGTTTACTTATTATTATGCCCTATTTTCCCAAAAGGCCTGTGGCAGTGCGTTAATAGTGTGTGTTGATTGTAATTTGACATTTAAACTCATTCATATTTTGTGAACTTCATTTCTGCACTATAACAGTGATTTTTGTTATCTTTGTCAATCCATTGCCTATACTAGCTGGTCTCCGTATCAAACTTAATATGAGACTTAAATATCATTATTCAGTTAGTTATAGTCAACGGTTTAATGGAAGATGAGAATGTTTGGATTTTAATTCGTAAACTTAATTTGATTTTGAAATGGCCTTAACTTCAAAATATTCCAAGAATGAAACCCATGCACCCTTCCCTTTACGGTGATGACCATCTTTTATTTATCTGTTTATTATAAGTCTTCATGTTTATTTCTCCTTTTTTTTTCCTACTTATGTCAGAGAATCTTGGGAATATTGTACTTCCACATTTTACAAAATACTAGTTAAGCCATAGAGAGTATTATCACTGTAATAATCTAGACTATATAAACGAGGTTTTATTTAATGTCAGAACTTATTTTAGTCAAAAGTGATGATGATTTTTACCTCTAGTGATGCAGCTTTGCCAATGTTTCCTTTCAAGAGTTGATTGACAGCTCTGTTATGTAATCTTTCCTCCTGGCGCACTGCTTTGTCCTCTTGCTAGAAAATAAATTTCAAGAAAACGAAAAATTTAATTATCATTAGCCGATATAGCAGACTAAATGAGCAATTATATAGACCAAAATTAATGGGTAGTATAATTTATTATTGGATATTATACCACATGGAAATTAAACCAAATGAGAATAAGCCTAAATGGTCATTAGACCAAATGATAAGTAGACGAAATAGTTAGGCCATTTGAATAGTATACGGGCTGGATGGAAACCATAATAGGAATAGACCAAAGTATTGGGTAGAAGACCAAACGGCAATAAAACAAAGTAGATAAAGGAAATAGTTCCATGACTTAGTACTATAACTTACCCTCAGTGCTTGGTTCTCTTTTCTATGATGGTAGTGTGACATGGTGACGTCTCCTTGCTTCCAAACAATTCAAATAAAAAAAACTTTCCAAGATGTTGTTAAAAAACTTCGCTAAATGCTGATAATAATATAGCTCTGTCAGTCGGTCCTCACTGAATGAACTGGCATGAAGAAATGAGAGATATTTATGCAGATATTCCCTCTTGTATAGCCATCAAAATTACGTCATCACCACCAAAAAGTACTTCCCATTTAGAATATTAAGTATTTCATAGCACTGTTTAAGATTTATTATCATGTGATCTAGAATTTATGATTCCCATTACATTGTCTAATTTTATTAAATATAACTTATGATCACCTTGCACGTGAAGCTGATAATGACGTCAATCTATACGTCAAAGAGCAAAGTCCAAGTTTGCAGCGCCAAGCGTGCATGTGATAACACAATAGCAATACAATGCCTTTTATTTCGAAAGTTCGACATAGGCAACTCTTTATTTACCTTATCTCACTCTACTCAGTCAACATTACTATTTAGCATATTATTGTAAATATGTTTTGTCGTTGACTTCTAATTTCAATAAAACCAAAAATATAACAACAACAAGAAAACCGACTCTTTTGTTCCTTTTTCTTTTCATGATTTCCCTCAACTTCCGGTCTACCCACCCACATTTTGCTCTTTGTAGTCTTTTGATCCAACAGTTTGCGAGTACACACTGGAAATAAGGTGGTAATCTTCCAAACCACCCCAAAAAGCTTTCGATAATTCTAGAGTAGAGGATTGTGAAAACTGAGGAAGAAACAGGAAAATGGCAATACATGTATGTGTGTGTTTTCCCGCTCCATTTGAAATTGGAGCTTTATCAGTCTGGAAGATAGAAAATGTGAAATATAGTTGAAGCTGAGCGGTTATTTCAATTGCCTGTGTAGATGTGAAGAATGTACTTGGTTGTATTAGGACTTTGTCTCTTGGAAATGATTTGAAAGATTTCTTGTCGCTTATCAATTATGTTTAGTGATTGATAAGCGACAAGAAATCTTTCAAATCATTTCCAGACACCCTGTCTCAGGGGCGGCGATTTCTTTTCATGACCGGGGGGGGGGGGGGTGGGGGGACGAAATCTGAGGGACGAAGGAGCAGTGGCGTAATGATCAAAAACGGTTGGGGGGGGGGGCAGAACAAAAATCTGCATCACCATCACTCTCACCCTCAACGATTTTTTCAAAGTGGGGGGGGGGGGGGGGGGGGAGGGGCCAAAGTATTTACGATCAGGTAGAGCAAAGCAAGCGAAGCAACTGAGCGTAAATTGGCGTGGGGTCCAGGGGCAAAGTCCCGGCGGGGGTCAAGGGGCGGAGCCCCATGAAACTCAGGGGTTTTAGGCATTTAATTAAGGTTAGATGAGCATCAAGCGGGCGGAGCCCCCGGAAGCCTCAGGGGTTTTAGGCATTACGGTCAGATTAAATTACGGTCAGATGAGCAACCAGGGGCCCGCCCTACTGGGATCCAGGAGGCAGAGCCCCAGAGGCTCAGGAGAAAATGCCATTTCATCAACATTTTTAAATCACTGGTATCGAATTAGAAATAAACCACGTTTGAATTTAGTTTTTGGAGGGGGAACTTACAAGTAGGTGAAAGAAAATGTGCCCCCGTTCATCCTTCTGATACTAAGGGCATACGAGTGAGGGCGCAAAATGCAGTGTAGTATATTTTGTGTCTTTTTGCTTACCAAAAATATTTAAGGAAAGAGACACACCCCTCAAAATCCAATGACGCCCTTTCTTTACAACAAGTAGGTGAAAGAAAATGTGCCCCCGTTCATCCTCCTGATACTAAGTGCACGCGAGTGAGGGCGCAAAATGCAGTGCAGTGATAACCCATATTTGAGGAACGAGACACACACCCCTCAAAATTATCCAATGACACCCTTTCTTTATTGCATGTCAAAAGATTGTCAGGTCTTCTAACCCCCCCCCCCCTCCCCTCCCCCATACAATCCTGGATCCCCAAATATGTTGGTCTATAAAGACATTTCTAGTGTATAATCTATAAGCTGAAAACATTCCTTTAGGATTTAGTTTGAATTTGAATAGACACATCATAATTATTTATGCATAAATCATATCAGGGGGGGGGGGGCGATCCCGGGTGGACGGGGGGGGGGGGCCGCCCCGGAAATTTGAAAAAGTGCCCAAAAAAGAAGGTATAGCAAATAATGCCTAAAGACTAAGTGCAACAAACTTTTAGGCTCTGGAGGGCCCAAGAGTGCAGCGTTTAGACTAATAACCTCAGATGGCACCCCAGGTCAAGAAATGATATCGCCCCCGGGCCCCCTGAACATGGGTGTCGATCCCGGGGGGATGGGGGGATATAGAGAGATAATGAGAGACAGAGAGGATACAGGCGCGTTGCCAGGGGGTGGTGGGGGCGGTCGCCCCCCCCCCCCCCGAAAAAAAAAGAGAGAGAGAGAGAAAGAAGATAGGAAGATAACGTAGGAAGAAAAAGGATTAAGAATCGAGAACGGTACAATGAATCGTCTTCTTTCTCTAATAATTTAATGAAACGTCGAAGCTTCCGCGCTTCGCGCGGGAAGGGGGGGGGGGGGGGGGGGGACAGAATTCAGCAAGGATTAAGAGTCGAGAATGGTACAACGAATCGTCTTCTTTCTCTAATAATTTAATGAAACGTCAAAGCTTCCGTGCTTCGCTCGAGAAGCCGGGGGGGGGGGAGGAACTGAATTCAGACAAGGATTAAGAGTCGAGAATGGTACAACGAATCGTCTTCTTTCTTTAATAATTTAATGAAACGTCAGTGCTTCCGCGCTTCGCGCGGAAAGGGGGAAACTTTCCCTCCCTGCACCCACCCCCTAGGAGGTGCTCACTATATACCGCCCCCCTAAATTAAAATCCTGCCTATATGCTTGAGAGGATAATTACCCAGGTAGCAAGCCCATGTGGCACTCACATGGGTCCCATATTCTCTAAAATCTTTATCTTTATTGAGGGTGACTTGAAAAAATCAATAACTTGGAAGGGAGGGGGTGCAACCTGCCACACGCCTCTACCTCTTGGTTGCTTTGATCCATTGCCGAAAATATTTTGGCACCTATCGACACCCTTGCTCCTGAATCATACATTATACTAGTAAATGAAAAATAACTTTGGAAAAGAAAAGTGTTTTTTGCGTCACCCTATAAATCTAAATTCATCAATACAAAGATAATTTATTTTCCAGCCCTCATGTACACATCGCTTACATTTTCGCTAGAGGTCCGGTGTCGCAACCTAATCTTTTGCGAGAATTTTGGGGCTCAGGATCTCGAGCGCGAGCGAGCAAGCATGCATGTGCTACGGACCGGGGCGCGTCGGGGCACGGCATGCACTGGTACCGCGCAAGCAACATGTACTAGCGCCACTCAATCTAACCCACAGCTGTTTGTGTGGTTGGACGTCGGAGAATTTTTTTTTCTTCTTTTTAATGGCAAATTTAGCTGATGATGAGGCTCTTGCTCTGCAACTACAACAAGAGGTAAAAGTGAAATGTTATAATTTCACATTTTTAGACCAAATTTAGAAATATAAGAATACATTTTCAGCCTGGAAACTCGAGTTTCAATCGTGACTACCGTACCCACACGAAGCTATTCTTGCCCGCTAGACTAGGCGGCCAGATCCACGAGCGATGCAGTGCATACCCGCACGTTGTGTGTCCGGATGTAGTCCAAGAACTACAAATACCCCAGGTTTTATCGCAGTTTCAAATATAATTTTGCCTTTTAAATCAAACAACAAACAACACTTTGAGTGCTAAAAAAGGAGAGTGTCCAGACACCGGCATCCAATCCCCTGCGATTAAATCTAGGGCCTATAAAATATTTTGGCAGCTTGAGCCTTGAGTTGACCCTCGGCCCTCTTAAGTTCATGATCATATTTTTTTTTAATGGACCTATTTTTAAGTTTGCGGTCAGAACCTACGAAATTTCAAAAGGAAATCATACTAGTGCTACCAGCATTCCCACAAATGATCACTTTTTAAATTGTGTTTACACTTAACTCATTAACTGATATAGACTAGTGATACTGATAGTCATTGTTTCAAGACCTAGATTCTAGAGTCTAGACAATGGAAATTTGAAAGATTACTGAAGTCAGTTTAAAACTAAAAGCAGATCAGGTTGAATGGTTTGTCTTACTTGATGCTTCTATTCTTTACAGTATAACATGGAGGAAGAGCAAGAAAAGCAAGATCTAGCCATGGCTAGAGCCATAGCCGCTGGCCATGATATCTCAGATTCAGATACAGATGATGGCGAACCATCAAGGACCGTCAAATCCAGCCATATCTCTAAACATAGCATGAGTGACTCGGACTCGGATGCCACATACATCGATGAAGAACTGAACGTGAATGACAACCACCCAACGACGAGACAAGGGAAACGAAAACATGAATCAGATTCAGATTCTGGTCCACAAAGTGAGGATGAAAGTAGGAAAGGAAAAAAGAAAGCTGGTGGGAAAACGAAATCTCAGGAGAAGAAATCGTTGATATCACAGTCCACAAAGAGATTGAAGAGGGAAGATACAGTGATCATAGAGGCAGGAGAAACCAGCAAGCCTAGTGGGTCTAAACCAGAGTGCCCGCATGGAACCAAGTGCTACAGGAAAAACCCTTCTCACTTGGAAGAATATGCTCATCCAGGTAATAAATAAAAATAAATAAAAAGCAAAGATCAGATCAAACTATAATGATAATTTAAGACTAGAGCAGGACAGCCGTATTTGTTTCTTAAAAAGCCAATGAAAATAATTAAAGAAGTAAAAGTTGTGCATTCTATATCCCTAACATTTCAGGTCCATCCTTGTAGTACAGAGTAGGCAGCTAGCTCCCTCTCTAAGTCTTCTGATAATAGTTTCTTTTGTAGGCATCGTAAACCTTAACCAGGTTCTTTTCAATTTCATTGTTATTCCTTGCAACAATCTTTGTTCCCTTGAACAGAATCGATGCTCCCCCCCCCAAAAAAGATGATAAATAACAGGTCTATTATTCATATTAACTCATACACTGCTCATCCTCCTCCCCCTCCTCTAACATAGGTAAGAGAAGCCCTGGAAAGACTTCCCCCAAGAGACAGAGATCGGATGCAAGGAGTTCTCCGCTGTCCTGTCTGGAGGTGGTTGAGAGA